AGCCAGAGGCAGATGCTTAATGGACTGAGCCACCCAGGCACCCTTGAGTATATATTTTATAACAAAAAATTTTTTAAAATTCCTTTTTGATGGGGCACCGGAGTGGCTCAGTCTGTTAAGTATCTGCCTTCAGCTTGGGTCATGATCCTGGGGGCCCCATGTCTGGGTCCCTACTCAGCAGAGAGTCTGCTTCTTCCTCCGCCCCTCCCCCCACTTGTGCACTCTCTCTCAAATAAATAAATAAGTAAAAAAAATTAATAAAATCTTTAAAATAAAATTCCCTTTTGAAGTTAAAAATAAGACATATGATACCATAATCACACTACTGGGTATTTATCCAAAGAATACAAAAACACGAATTAAAAAAAAATACATGCACCCTATGTTCATTGCAGCATTATTTACAGTGGCCAAATTATGGAAGCAGCCCAAGTGTCACTGATAGATGAATGAATAAAGAAGATGTCCTATACGGATGCCTGGGTGGCTCAGTGGTTGAGCGTCTGTCTTTGGCTCAGGGCGTGATCCTGGGTCCTGGGATCGAGTCCCACACTGGGCTCCCTGCGAGGAGCCTGCTTCTCCCTCTGCCTGTGTCTCTGCCTCTCTCTGTGTGTGTCTTGTGAATAAATAAATAAAAATCTTAAAAGGATGTCGTATAGATAGATATAGCTACACACACTGGAATATTACTCAGCCATAAAAAAGATCGAAATCTTGCCATTTGCAACAATATGGGTGGAGCTAGAGAATATAATGCTAAGTAAAATAAGCCAAAGAAAGATAAATACTATATGATTTCACTCATATGTGGAATGGAAGAAATAAAACAAAGGGGGGAAAGTGACAAATCAAAAAACAGACTCTTAGCTATAGAGAACACACTGTGGTTACCTGAGGGGAGGTGGGGGCCTGGGTGAAATAAGGTGAAGGGGATTAAGGAGTGTACTTATCTTGATGAGCCCTGAGTAATATATGGAATTGTTGAATCACTGTATTGTACCTGAAACTAATATAACACTGAAATGTTAGCTATATTGGAATTGAATTTTTAAAATGTGAAATAAATAAATTCCCTTTAGAGCCATAAACACAAATTTACCAACTGTTATTCATAACCTCTGTCCTAATAGATGACACTGTGTCCTAGGAGGCTGTAAATACAGAAGAGGGTAAGAGAGAGCTCATTGGGTTGCACCTTGGACTCCATGGAAGCTCATTAGGAGTCTCAAGGAAGTCAATCTCAACCTTTATCCTCTGAAAGAGACTTTGCATGCTACTGTGCATGTGTGTGTATCTAAAATCATAATATCTAAGATTAATTTGGTTAATCTAAGCTCATGGAAACTCCAAAAGGAATGCTTTGCCACATGATCCAGGCCTGAGCTTCTAAACTTTAGATAAGAATCCCTAAAATTAAGGCATCTGGGGGGTTCAGTCAGTGTCTCCAGCTCAGGTGCTGATCCCTGGTCATGGGATCAAGCCCTGACATCAGGTTCCCTGCAGGGAGCCTGCTTCTCCCTCTCCCTCTGCCCCTCCCCCCACTCATGCTCTCTCTCACTCTCGCTCTCAAATATATAAAATCTTTTTAAAAAAAGAATCTCTAAAATTAATTTCTTAAAGCAGAAAAAATTAAGTGGCTGTGTAAGAAATATTAACAGTAAGCCTTTCAAGGGATTCCTGTTTGGGGGCTCTTTAGCTGCATCTAGCAGCCTTGTAAGTACAATGGTCTTTAGTCATCCCACTTGTATTTATTGAGTACTTATGGAGTACCAGGCACTGTGTTCTGTGCAGGTGTTCAGGGAAATAGAGTAATCATCTCTTTCCTCCTGCTCTGCCCAGGAGAGAAGACAGACAAGCAAAAAGGACATTAAAATGCAAAGAAGAGACACAGGTGCAATGCTTTGGAAGCACAGAACAGGTCTTTGTTAACTCTGACAGAGGGCATTAGGAAGGGGTTCAAAAGAGACTTGAAGAATGATTAGGAGTCCCTAGGCAAAAAAAAAAAAAAAAGGAGTCCCTAGGCAACTAGGAGGTGGGATGGGCCCACCAAAGATGGGAAGGAGTGAAATAGCCCTCAGGGGCCACTGCCAATAGTGTGGTAGGACTAAAACTCAGCACCTGTGAAAATCAAGGGGTGGATCACAACAGAGCCCAAGGCCACATTATCAGGTGCCTGTTCACACTGAGGAGTTTGGACTTCATCCTACTGATAGGAAGAAGCAATTGAAAATTTTCAAGCATGAGAGTGACAGGATTAGATCTGTGTTTCAATTCTTTTTTTTTTTAAGATTTTATTTATTTATTCATGAGAGACAGAGAGAGAGAGAGAGAGAGAGAGGCAGAGACACAAGCAGAGGGAGAAGCAGGCTCCATGCAGGGAGCCCGACGTGGGACTCGATCTCGGGTCTCCAGGATAAGGCCCTGGGCTGAAGGCAGCACCAAACCGCTGAGTCACCAGGGCTGCCCTAGATCTGTGTTTCAAAGGATCTTTGACACAGATATGGAGGATGGTTGGAGACAGTGATCGTGGAGGCCCAGGTTTCTTTAGAACTATTTAAAAATAGTCCAGGTGATGGAACTAGATGGTATCATGCTAAGTGAAATACGTCAATCAGAGAAAGACAGTTATCATATGATCTCACTCACATGTGGAATTTAAGAAACAAAACAGGGGAAAAGAGGAAAAAAATAAAACAAAACAGGGGAAAAGAGGGAAAAAATAAAACAAAACAGGGGAAAAGAGGAAAAAAATAAACAAAACAGGGGAAAAGAGGAAAAAAATAAAACAAGATGAAATTAGGGGAGGGAGACAACCATAAGAGACTCTTAATCATAGGAAACAAACAGGGTTGCTGGAGGGTCAGGGGTGAGGAGATGGGGTAACTGGGTGATGGGCATTAAGGCATGCTAAGTGAAATACGTCAATCAGAGAAAGACAGTTATCATATGATCTCACTCACATGTGGAATTTAAGAAACAAAACAGGGGAAAAGAGGAAAAAATAAAACAAAACGGGAAAAGAGGAAAAAAATAAAACAAGATGAAATTAGGGGAGGGAGACAACCATAAGAGACTCTTAATCATAGGAAACAAACTGGGGGTTGCTGGAGGGTCCGGGTGAGGAGATGGGGTAACTGGGTGATGGGCATTAAGGCATGCTAAGTGAAATACGTCAATCAGAGAAAGAGTTATCATATGATCTCACTCACATGTGGAATTTAAGAAACAAAACAGGGGAAAAGAGGAAAAAAAATAAAACAGGGGAAAGGAGGAAAAAAATAAAACAAGATGAAATTAGGGGAGGGAGACAACCATAAGAGACTCTTAATCATAGGAAACAAACTGAGGGTTGCTGGAGGGTCAGGGGGTGAGGAGATGGGGTAACTGGGTGATGGGCATTAAGGAGGGCACATGATGTAATGAGCACTGGGTGCTATATAAGATTGATGAATCACCGACCTCTACCTCTGAAACCAATAATACGCTATATGTTAATTAACTGAATTTAAATAAAATTTTAAAAGTAGTCCAGGTGAAGGATGCTAAATATGTGATGGGGGCAGCAGCTGGGCAAGAAAGTTTTCTCCATTTCTAGTTAGGGCTTCTGCCCCTCCCTCCAGAATTCCAATGGAAGTGCTTTCAGAGTTTGGATGAGTGAAGGCACCATAAAGGTGCCTGAGGACCAGGCAAGATGATGATGACTCAGCTGAAGAAAACAATATAAGCAGGCACCAGTGGCTCATTCATTCATTCATTCATTCATTCATTCTCAATTCCACCAAAGTTTATAGAAAGCCTTTTCTATTAGGAAGGTGAGCTATAGGGACAGCTGGCTCAGTTGGTAGTGTTTGCAACTCTCAATCTTGGGGTTGTGAGTTCCAGTCCCACCTTGGGCATAGTGATTACTTAAAATCTTAAGGGATGCCTTCGTGGCTCAGCGGTTGAGCATCTGTCTTTGGCTTCAGGGCGTGATCCTGGCCTGGGATCCTGGAATCCAATCCCACGTCAGGCTCCCTGCGTGGAGCCTGCTTCTCCCTCTGCCTGTGTATGTGTGTGTGTGTGTGTGTGTGTGATGAATAAATAAAATCTTTAAAAAATAATAATAAAATCTTAAAGAAAAGGAAGGTGAGCTATAAAGGTGAATGTTCAGGGTCCTGGCCATTTAAGGGGAGGGAAAACTAAAAGCGGGGAGTGGAAGCTATGTGTTTGCACTTGGAAGGCAGAATGGTTGTTACACACCTACTTGCCTATGCCAGTTTCTGTTCCAAATGCTGTGAATATAGCAGTGAACAAGACAGACAAGGTCCCTAATTTAGTGGTTTATATTCTAGGGATATAGGGTGACTAATAAACCACCTCCAAAATGCACAGGATGTATGGGGAACATTTAGCTTGGCTGGACCGAGTGCGAGTAGGACTAGAGAAGATCAGAAGTAAGGCTGCTCGGTGATCCTCTGGTAGAAGGGCAATGGGAACCCTTCAGAGGTTCCTTTGGGCTGTTTCTTTGTTCTGGGGTTAGGGAGGCAGGGAAGTGACTCTCGCTTTTTAATTATATTTAAGGAACCTGAGGCTCAGGGAAGCAACGTCACTAGCCCAAGGCCACCCAAGTACAAGATCGGGCAGGCGTGTCTGGCAAGGCCCGGGGTTCAAAACTCCTGCCCGCTTCCCGCGCTTTTCCGGCCATGCAGAGGTAGAAAGGCGCGGGGTCCCGGGGTCCTCGGAGAGACTGGCGCCAAGCTCAGAGCCGACTCCGCGGAGAGGCCCGGGAGGGCGGCCCGGTCTCCGGGGGGTCGCTGGCACCCCCGGGAGGAGCGGCCCAGGCCGCCAGGCAGCGCAGCGGACTCCGAGAGCGCGCCGGGGCGCGGGGCTTCCGGGCGCAGACCCGCGAGCCGAGGCTGGGGCCGCGTGGTGCTGCCCCTCGCCCCCCCCACGCCCGCCCGCCAGTGGTTCGCTCCGAACACCCCTCCCCGCGCGGCGGGTACCGCGGCCCGCCCCGCTTCCGGTCGCTGCCGGGCCTTATATCCGGTGTCCGCCCGCCCTCGGCTCCGCCGCCGCCGCGATGCTGTCCCGGACCCGCTGCGTGTCCCGGGCGTTCAGCCGTTCGCTCTCTGCCTTCCAGAAGGTACGGCCCGGGCGGGCCGGGGCACCGGCGGGTGAGAACCCCGCCGGCGGGCAGCGGGGCGGCCTGGGGAGCAGGGGCGCGGCGCGCCGGTCGAGCCGGCACCAAGGGCACCGGGACGCGGAGGCCGCGCGCTGGGCGGCCCGGGGGCGCCTTCCCGAGGCAGCCGGCGCCCCGTCCCCTGCGGCGCCCCGCCGTCCGCGCCGGGGCGGAGGAGCAGCCCAGAGCCGCGCCGGTCCGGACGCGGGACTCCGAGTTGGGAGGAGGCGCGGCGGAGTCCCGGGGCTGCATCCAGGGCCCGCCCTCTCCCTCCGGTAGTCAGCGGGTGCCAGCGCTGTGGGAAGTTGGGAGAGCTGGCGGGTTCGGGGTGCCGGCTGGGAAGGAGCGCCCCCCGGCTGTCGCGCTTGCCCTCTGGAGGCACGGGATTCACCTGTCACTGGCACCTGGACAGCTTCGAGGCTGTACTTAGAAAGCGGTTTCTTCCCTCCTTTCATCGCGGGTGACGTCGATAATGTCTTCTTTCTCAACAGGGGAACTGCCCTCTAGGGAGACGTTCCCTGCCTGGTAAGTTGTGCCCTTGCCTGCCGTCAGCTACCATGCTCCCCTGGGCAGAGCGGTGCGTGAGGAAGCCGCGGTGCCGAGGTTTCTCCACACGCCGTGGACTGAAACAAAGTGCTATTTAATAACAGCTAGCCACTTATTCGTTTGGCCACGGAGTCAACTGAATTTCTACTGCCTGTCAGGCACTGTGCCAGGCACTCCCCGGGGATGCAGCAGTTACCAGTTCTTCCCCTCCTGGAGCTTTACGGTCTGGGCGGGGGGGGGGGGGGGGGGGACACAAAGTATAAATGGCTAAGCAAGTGAGGGATCATGAATTTTGGTTAAGTGCTGAGGTGGAAACAGATGAAGGTGGAGGAAAGGGCCCTCTTTAGTAGGAGCAGTTAAAGCTGCAGCCCCCGGGGGATGTACATAGGGCGAGTTCAGTGTAGAGCAGGAAAAGGGGAATAGCTCGGACAGAGTCCCTGCAGAAGGGAAGAGCTTGGCAATGTTTTGGAACTGGGGGGGTGGGGGGGGGAAGTGACCTAACCAGAGAATTTTGGTTAAAGGAAGAAATGGCACGCGACAGAAGATGGTGTAGAGGCAAGTGGAAGGAATTTAGATTTCATCCCAATAATTTTTTTAAACATCCGGCATAAATATTTGTTGGATGAGTTTTCTGCGTGCCAAGCATGGTTCTGGGTGCTTTTTGTGCATTTTGCAATTAATCATCAAGAGACAACAAGGGGAGTATTCTCTCTGTTTTACGAACACCTGATCCAAGGGTAAGTGCCTTGGCCAAGGTCATTCAGCCACCTATTGGTCAAGCCATGTGTACCTGACTCCTCAGCCTAAACTCTTAACCCACCGTGATGTCATTTACTCGTGCTCAGCAGATCGTTTGAGTTCTTAGTACGTGCCAGGCCCTGCGCTGGGTGACGGGGGTACAGATGGTCTCTACCCTCACGGATCTTATGGGCTAGCTGGAGAGACAGCAAATACACATTTATGCACACAGAAGGACACATTTACCTTGTGAGGATTATGAGCGAGAAGTGCAGGGTGTAATGAAAGGGTGGGATATAGCCCAGCTTGGGAAGGGTGGAGAGTGTGGTGAGAATATCAGTGAAAGACTTCCCTGAAAAAGTGACATTTAAGTCAAGTCTCTAAGAATATGTCGCAGTCGGCGAAGAGAACAATATTCCAAGCAAAGGGAATTGCTTGTACAAAGGTTGTCAGGCAGGAAGGGACTTGACTGGTCATAGAAATGGAAAGGAAGCCTGTCTGGCTAGAAAGATAGGGAGGGCTGGACAGTACAGGAATGGGTAAAGTTTTTGGACTTTATTCTGAGAGTCATGAGATCATAGGCACCTAGCAGGGTGTAGGCTCGTAGTGGACTCTCAATAATAAATATTCTTTTAAACTAGGAATCCTAAAAGTAAACGATTTCTCCACTTATAGACTGGCAGGACAAAGGAAAGAACCTTGTACTTGGGGTTTGCATTGGGGCTCAGGACTTCACCTTGGGCTAGTCCCTGAAACCTCCAGAAGCCCTGCTTATATATAAAGTGGGAATAATAGCAGATGGTCGTTCTACTTTAGGGAGTTGTGAGACATGAAAATCAAAATGAGGTCATTATGTGAAAGTTTTTTATAAACCCAAAAGCACTATACAAATGAGACTTGCTGCAGGATGAACTCTAATTTGGACTCAGGGTTCCACAACTCCGTATGGGCTGCTGGCAGTTCTAGCTCAAAGATACATTATACTTGGGATTTCTACTGCAGAGGCATTGACGGCTGGACACGGACGTGATTTACTTGACTCCGAGAAACACTGGAGATTTTGGGGAGGAGGGAGCACAAGGGAGAGCTCTTTCTCCTCTGGTGCTTCCTGAACCATGGTTAAACCCATGGTTTAAAAAGAGTTGTTAATCTGAAAAAAATAAGACCTCTGGAAAAATATGTCCATGGGAGGCGACAGCTGTTAGTAGCTGTAATTAGTTGTCATTTGGGGAAATGCAGTTTTCTGTGATAAGGACATTTGGTGGGCTGAAAGAGTCTCCCACCTTGCTGAGTTTGACCAGAGGGGAAGACCTCAGAGAGATCATGGGAAGGAGGTAAACTGAAAGATTTGCTCCTGGTAGCCCAGTCTTTGCTACTAAGGTTTATGTAGTAAGACTTCCAGCTCAGTGCATTTTAGGTAACCAGGGAAACAAATCCAGACTAAACATGCCCACTGCTTCTCACATTAGGCTCTGTGTAGTCACAGGATAAGCCATCATGGGTCTTTCTGAAGCTTCAATTATATTTGAACACTTGAGGGAGTAGGGAGGTTTTATTATGAAAACATATAGGGATAATGACAGTTTATGAATTTTAAGGTAAATAAGATTATAAAAGTACTTCAGGCCTTGCCCTTAGCATTCTCCCCTTTCTTCAAACACAAACCCACTCTCCCCGCCCCACATACTTGTTGCTCTGGGCCATTGAGAAGCAGGACTCTGCATGATAAAGATTATATTGTTGCCTATGTTTGATCTTGCTCTTTGTCAGAGTTAGGGGGTGAACAGACTTCTTTTCCAATCCCAGCAGGTATCCTGTATAAGAGTTATTGGTTAAGAGTTGTTTTGTTTCTTACAGGGGTCTCTTTATGTCAGGGACCAGGTTACCCTGACAGCAGGAAGATTGTGTAAGTATTTCTGGGGAGCACAGATGTGTGGCCATGGGGTATTTAAGACACCGGTTCTAAATTTGACCATCTGCTTTCTTCACTGGCTTCCAGGCCTTGATAATCAAGGTGCTTATTTTAGTCTTTAGATCTGACCTTGATGTTGGTTTATGATGTGTGATGTACCTTAAGCTTCAGCCCCATGTCAGGTGCTGGCCCTGGAGTGTGCTTGTCCTCAGATGTTTAGATTGTAATGAAAGTGAGGTTGGAACCCTCTCTTTATGGGAAAAGATAGAAGGTTACTCATAAGTATTCTGGTTGATGGGCAGCCCTGGTGGCTCAGCGGTTTAACGCCGCCTTCAGCCCAGGGTGTGATCCTGGGGACCCGGAAATGAGTCCCATGTCGGGCTCCCTGCGTGGAGCCTGCTTCTCCCTCTGCCTGTGTCTCTGCCCCCACCCTCTCTCATGAATAAATAAATAATAAAATCTTAAAAAAAAAATAAAGTATTCTGGTTGGATACAAGTGCAGCCAAAAGAAGTTAACATTTATTGTGGAGATTTATTTATTTTTTTAAAAGATTTTATTTATTTATTCATGAGAGACACAGAACGAGAGAGAGAGAGAGAGAGAGAGAGAGAGAAAGAGAGAGAGAGGCAGAGACACAGGCAGAGGGAGAAGCAGGCTTCATGAAGGGAGCCTGACCTAGGACCGGGTCTCCAGGATCAGGCCCTAGGCCGAAGGCAGTGCTAAACCACTGAGCCACCCAGGCTGCCCTATTGTGGAGATTTAGAGCATTCTCTTGGTAGCATAGTTATTTCAGAAATAGTAAAAGCAAAAGATGAGTCAGTTGAGTCCTGGGACTTCGACTACTTCAGAATGCTACTATTGCATAAGACAGTTTGGAGAAAGGCCACTCGTGTGTTCCAGATTAATTTCTGCTTATGAGTATTGCTTAATGCTGCTTTGCATTCCAAGTGTTTTCAGAGTAATGGTAAGAGGATGCTCTCTAGTTATCTGTTAAACCACTGTCCAGCTATGTTTTGGCTAGGGAGCCTCTTCAAAATGAAGGATCACCGATTAGTTCCTTCATTGTGCATCACAATGGGATTTTTTCAATTGAGAAAATGATGTACTTAGTACTAGAAGTATGAATTTCTGTGTTATATTTGGAGGGCAGTTAGCATTCATGAAGTCTTTGAACTGTGATTTTATTTATTCATGAGAGACAGAGAGAGGCAGAGACACAGGGAGAGAGAGAAGCAGGCTCCTCACAGGGGGCTGATACGGGACTTATTCCCAGGACCGGGATCACACCCGGGGCCGAAGGCAGACTTTCAACCGCTGAACCACTCAGGCATCCCTGAACTGTGTATGTTTTTTGATGAAACAGTTCCATTTCTAATAATCTATGCTGAAGAATTCCTGGTATACCCAGATTTCTCTCAAAATGGCCAAACAACAGGGAATTGGTTAAGATGTGTCCTGTTAACATGTTCATGCTATGATAAGTGGGGAAAACACAGGTTATAAAAGGATTCTGTTTTTTACTGTACAGAATATTTTTTTGCTGTTTCCAAATACTATACAGTGGACATCTAATACTTTTGTAAATTAGAAGTTAGACTGATTCAAAATGTGCTACTCATCTGCAAATTTTTTTTAAAGATTTTATTTATTTTTATTTTTTTAAGATTTTATTTATTCATAATAGAGAGGCAGAGACACAGGCAGAGGGAGAAGCAGGCTCCATGCCGGGAGCCCGACGTGGGACTTGATCCCAGGACTCCAGGATCACACCCTGGGCCAAAGGCAGGCGCTAAACCGCCGAGCCACCCAGGGATCCCTAAAGATTTTATTTATGAGAGGGAGTGTGGGTGTTTGTGCGAGCAGGCAGAGGGGCAGAGGGAGAAGCAGAAGCAGACTTCTGCTGAGCAGGGAGGCCCTGCGGCTGGCTTGATCCCAGGACCCAGAGATCATGACCTGAGCTGAAGGCAGATTCTTAACTGTGTAACCGACTCAACCACCCTGGCGTGCCCACCCCCACCCCACCTGCAATTTAAATGGAAAGTGGAACAACCACAAGTTTTGAGGCAATAAATACAAAAAGTATTTAAAAGTAAATTGTTAAAAATTTTATCAGAGAGCGAGCAAGGGGGGGAAAGGCAAAAAGGGAGAGTGAGAGGGACAGGCAGATTCCCTGCTGAGCACAGAGCCTGACATAGGGCTGAGGATATGGGGCTGACTCAGGGCCTGATCCCAGGACCCTGAGATCATGACCTGAGTCAAAGTCAGACGCTTAACTGACGCACCCAGGAGCCCCAGTAAATTATTTTTTAAAAAACACTTTAAGGAGTGAGATCACCCTAATCTAATAACTATTTTTGTGTTGTCTTTTGTCTGTTTTCTGTGAATAAAGTACTCACTTCATTTTAAAAAACCTTTTATCATTAAAACATTTCAATTTTTTGTGATTCAACAGTAAAAAGACTTTACCCTTGTCCTACAGTGCCCCCAAGTTCCGCTCCAGGTTCTTGAGTGTCCCACAAGGCAGTCTCTGGGGATTACAAACTACCATGAGTTCTTGTCCATGAACACTTAACACGTGGTCATAAACTTTATGCAGTCACTTTGTTCTCTGTTTTTTATGTACATTTCCCCCTTGATTTTAGGTTTATTTATTTTTTTTTTTTTTGAATTTTTATTTATTTACGATAGGCACACAGTGAGAGAGAGAGAGGCAGAGACACAGGCAGAGGGAGAAGCAGGCTCCACGCACCGGGAGCCCGACGTGGGATTCGATCCCGGGTCTCCAGGATCGCGCCCTGGGCCAAAGGCAGGCGCCAAACCGCTGCGCCACCCAGGGATCCCTCCCCCTTGATTTTAAATAAATCTTAGTTATTTTGACATTACAAAAGTGAAAATATCAAATGGCAACTTAAATCTGTTTTACTTCTGTATTATAAAGGTGCTTGTTGTAGAATATTGAGAATGCTGAAGTGTAGAAAGTGAAAGTCCCCATCAGTCCAGATCACTCTCCCAAAATGTGTATGTATATATTAGATAACCATAGGTACTGTATATATCTGCATCTCCCACTCTCCAGAGTTAACCACTATTAATGGTTTGCACATACAACGTAGTATCCTTCTCTAGTTTATTTGAAGTTAGTGTCGTATCAGAAAATCCCTTGGTCTCTTGAATGAGTGCAGAATGAACCAATGTGCTGCCTGCTGGCAAGAGAGCTAACTAGGAGAGATCATAGGAGTGTTTTGGTGGTTCTGCTCCCTTCCCACCCCTGGCCTATAACACCTTGTTTTAATTCCGAGTTAATTGTCTCATCTTGCTGCCTTATCTCAGTCTGTAATCCCGCAGACAGAAATTTCATTGTTTGTGGCACAATGGCAGGTACTCTGAGGGCACACAATTTATTGTACTTAGATTTGGTCAAGAAAAAAAACCTAATGGGGAAGCTAATTCCTTTTGGTGGGTGTGCAAAGGACCAAGATGCTTATCTTTTTCTTCACTGAACCCAGTGAAAAATCTCTATTTTGCGCAAGCTGGCATTTCACTGCTGGCATTTCACTGAGGGTTATGGACTCACCCAAGGAGTTTACTTCCTTGGGTACCCAAGTCATCCAGGATCTGCTGTAGACCTGCTGAGTCAGAATCCCTGGGGTTGGGGCCTGGACATGTAGGCTTTGAAAAAGGTTCCCTAGATAACACTCACAGGCACCCCTGGCTGAGAATCACTGATTTTTAAGGGAAAGTGGTCCATGGTCCCTTGTCTAGACTACAATGTGAGTGGTTCACTTGCTAAAGGAGTTTACTTTTTTATGTTTTTTTTCTGTAGTATTAACAACAGTAGTGTCTTCAGTGTTCGCTTCTTCAGAACTACAGCTGTGTGCAGTAAGTACCTGCCTTCAGTTCCCTACCTTCTTGGGAATGGCATTTTAATGGGAAGAGCAACAATGAACAGAGTTTAATTAAAAAGGAGAAATATGGACTACATTTGAATTTTTTTTTCTTCTTTTCCTAGAGGATGATGTGATTACAGTCAAAACCCCAGCATTTGCAGAATCTGTCACAGAGGGAGATGTCAGGTGGGAGAAAGGTAAGATTTTTAGGCTCTACTCCTTCTTAAGTTTAAATATTTAATAAAATTGTCATTGCCGACTCCCCCAACCCCCACCCCAGTAATTGGGTTCCTCCCTTTTCTTTACATGCAGTGTAATTTTTCCTGACACTATAGGAAAGGGGGCTTGTAACACACCAATCAAAAGGGATTTTGTGGCTACTGGAGACATCCCCCCTTAACAGGTAGCCTTTGACTATCTTTTCAGCTGTTGGAGATACTGTTGCAGAAGATGAAGTGGTTTGTGAGATTGAAACTGACAAGGTAGGCTTGTCCTATGTTAGTGTAATTTTTCATGGTTTCCTCTTGGTTTAACCTAATTTTTTTTTAAATGGACTTGTGAACTGTTTAAAGATAATTTTTAACTTGCTCTAACCTCAATTGTAAAAGTGTTGGAATAGCTTATTAAAAAAAAACTTAAAAGTTTTAATTTTGGATTGTTCGCGGTATATGTATTATGTACTTTAGCAGAGTTTTGTAGCATGTGTGTGTGCACGTGCATGAACTGTTTTGGTTTTGTGTATCACTTGGAAACACATTAACTGAACATTGTTTCTGAAAAAGGACAAAGGGTGAATCTTCACAATAGCATTAACTTTTCGTTACTCTGAAAGTGTGGCTTTGGTGTTTCTATAAGCAGAGTCTAATATCTGTTGTGACTCATTTGAGATTCTAGACAATTTTCTAATACTGAGTAAAAATTTGGACTCTTTTACAATCTGTCCTTGTTTTCTAGACATCTGTGCAGGTTCCATCACCAGCAAATGGCGTGATTGAAGCTCTTTTGGTACCTGATGGGGGAAAAGTAGAAGGAGGCACTCCTCTTTTCACACTCAGGAAAACTGGCGGTAAAGAAGTTCTCCTGGTTGTCAAGGTCTCCAGTGTTCCCCCTTGGAATTGGGGCTGAGCATAATGTACTAATACCTTGATACCTCAGAGGTTATTTGGCATTCCAGCTCCTGTTAGTTGAGAGACTAAGACAGGTGATATTTACATAGAGGGTAGTTTAAATGCCAAGTTCTAGAAGAAAAGGGTATTTAAAAAGAAAAAAAGTATAATTTTCTTTCCATGTATGTTTCTTATGCTAGACCTTTGTTTTTTATTTTTTTAAAGATTTTATTTATTCAAGAGAGAGGCAGAGACATAGACAGAGGGGGAAGCAGGCTTTTCGCAGAGTGCCCAGTGCATGACTTGATCCCTGGACCTGGGATCACGCCCTGAGCTGAAGGCAGCTGATCAGTCTCTGAGCCACCCAGGTGTCCCATGCTAGCCCTTTTTTAAAGATATAATAGAATGAAGAAGAGTCTAAGATAGTGATTTTTTTTTTCCTTCCCCTCCCCATCCCTAGCATCAGAATCCCATCGGGGTTTAAAAACAGACAAATGCAGGGCACCTGGGTGGCTCAGTTGGTTAAGTGACCAACTCTTGATTTCCACTTAGGTCATGATCTCAGGGTCCTGAGATTGAGCTTTACCCTGGGTGTGGAGCCTTCTTAAGATAGTGTGTCTGTGTGTCTCAAAAGAAAAAAAAAAGGGGGGGCAGCCTGGGTGGCTCAGCGGTGGTCTTTTTATTTATTTTTTATTATTTTAGTTTAGTTTTTAGTTTAGTTTAGTTTAGTTTTTGGCTCAGCGGTTTAGTGTCGCCTTCAGTCCAGGGCGTGATCTTGGAGACCCAGGATGAGTCCCACGTCGGGCTTCATGCATGGAGCCTACTCCTCCCTCTGTCTGCATCTCTGCCTCTCTCTCTGTGTCTCTCATGAACAAATAAATAAAATCTTAAAAAACAAAAAAATTTATGGGGCACCTTGGCTCAGCTGAGGGTCTGCCTTTGGCTCAGGTCATAATCATAGGGTCCTGGAATTAGCCCCTTGTCAGGCTCCCTGTTGAGTGGGGAGCCTGCTTCTCTCCTCCCTTTGCCTGCTGCTCCCCCTGCTTGTGTGTGCACTCCCTGTCAAATAAATAAATCATAAAATAGATGTAGAACACAAATGCCTAGACCCCATGGTCCAGGGATATATTAAATCTGAGGTTTTCAGATCCTGGTTATCCTAGTTTGTTTTGTTTTAATGCTCTCCAACTGATTTTGATACACAGCAAGGGCTTAGAACCACTATTCTAAAGTAAGCAATATTTCATGGTGTCTATTCTGGAGAAGTCAGCATGGTTTTTACACATCTATTCTCTCCTAACATTTTTAGGGAATGTTGCTCTTTCTCTAGGGAAGAAGTGAGAAATAGGAAATGAATTTGTATGGCACTTTACAGTTAATATGAGAGATTAGATAAGACAATATTTTTCTGATTCTTAGTTAAATTCTGTAACTACTAAAGTCTGTTTCTTTTTCATTATCCTAAAATAGTTAAGGAGAGAGATAGTAGATTGCATCATTGAGATTGATCAGAGCACCAGAAGCCCAGAATGAAAATAATGTGCAGTAGAAGGGAATAAGATCAATTCTTCCATCTTCTGATCATTCCTTAAAAAGAATTTTTTCTTTTTCTTTTTATTTTTTTTTAAGATTTATTTATTCATGAGAGAAACAGACTGAGAGAGGCACAGGCAGAAGGAGAAGCAGGCTTCTTGCCTGAGCTGAAGGCAGGCGCCCCCAAAAAGAATATTATTCTGATTTAAATATGAAACCAGATATGTACAGATGGATAAAATCAAAATGAATATCTAATTTAAAGTTGTGGTTTATGAGCATTATGCTAGATGAAATGCTTTGAACTATGAGATTTTGATTATTTAAACTTTTATTTTTTATTTATTTATGATAGTCACACAGAGAGAGAGAGAGAGAGAGAGAGAGGCAGAGACACAGGCAGAGGGAGAAGCAGGCTCCATGCACCGGGAGCCCGATGTGGGATTCGATCCCGGGTCTCCAGGATCGCGCCCTGGGCCAAAGGCAGGCGCCAAACCACTGCGCCACCCAGGGATCCCTAAACTTTTATTTTTTTAATAGTTAAGAGAATTCTTCCATATGTGTTCTTAAAATAGAAGATGAGGCTGTCAGTACTCCTATTATTAGAAATGTGTTACTTCTGTGTATGTGTATCAACATCCTCCATTGGGTTTCTTTTACTTGGTAGTTTACATTGCCATGGGCTTAGTAGGTGCTTTGAAAGTACTTTCTAAATTTGATCATCAGTCTATATTTGTGAAATCAGGAAGGCAACTGAATTAAGTCAGTTATGTAATGTAGGACATATAGGAGCCCTGGGGAACGGAAGGATGGTGCCTTATATTAATGTGCGCATATCATAGTGCCTTGTATATACCCGGTTAGCATTTGTCAAGGGATTGGAGATGGAGCTTTTCTACTAAACCTTGCTTAGCATCTGATTTGGTTGCTTTTCATTCCAGACAGTGCCAATGGCCTCTGTTTTTCTTACAGCTGCTCCTGCTAAGGCCAAGCCTGCTGAAGCTCCTGCTGCTGCAGTCCCAAAAGCAGAGCCTGCAGCATCGGCAGTTCCTCCTCCCCCTGCAGCATCCATACCCACTCAGATGCCACCAATGCCCTCGCCCTCACAACCTCTTGCTAGCAAACCAGGTGAGCCTCCACCTCCCATGTGTCTCTGTGTGGGAGAAGAACATTTCATCAATGCCACATTCCTTCACAGGGCAGACTCTGAGACTAATCGTGGCTCCGAACAGACTTCATTGGCTGCTTTGTGGAAGGGAGGGACTTTGTATGAGAAAACCTGGGTTTTGGAGCCCAGCTTTCTGTTTACAGCTATGTGACTTTAGGCTAGCTCTTAACTTCTTTGAGCAGAGCATGTGTTTGTAAAGTGGGAATGGTACTAGTATGCCTCAGAATGTCTTAAGAATTAAGTGACAGTACAGTATGAAAGCACTGGCACTTAGTAAATGTTTCTCTGATTTTTTTCTTTTCTTTCTTTTTTTTTTTTTTTTTTTGGTGCAAAAGTGTGGTTTTATTAAAGCATGGGGACAAGACCCATGGACCGAAAGAGCTGCTACCTCTCTGATTTTCTGATGCAGCTGTACCTTCTCTTCGTTTTCAGTGTCTGCGGTGAAACCCGCTGTTGCCCCTCCAGTAGCTGAGCCAGGAGCTGGCAAGGGTCTGCGTTCAGAACATCGGGTAAGCCTCTAGGGACCACTTCTAGGAAGAGACAGAGGGAACAGTGTTGAGATTGGTGGAGTGTGGGCATTGTTACCTTTGACTTGTTGGCAGTTCATGGAAACTGAGTTTAGGAAGTGCCTTGTTCATAGTTACATGCTTGACATATGATAGAACTAGAACATCAAGTCTTCTGAGCGCTTCTCCAGTGTGCCGCCCCCCCCCCCCCCCCCCCCCCGTGTTGTGCTACCACTGAACTGCCTTTGGGTGGGTAAAATATTTGCAGGGGATGGAAATGGGGGATGGGAGCTAAGTTATATGCTCCCTCCTTCCCACAGTAACACACTGCAGAGAGGTGTTTTAGTGAGCCCTGTTCCTGTTCTTCCGGGACACTTAGCTGAGGGCTACATGGTAGCAGCAGCTGGCAGGAGCTGATGTAAAACCTCAAGGAAGTATGGTCAAGAGTGTGGGTTCCTCTGCCTGAGAGTACCTCCTAAAAATACTATAGCCTCAAAAGTTTGTTACTTGTTTCCATTCCACAAGTAGCTGTTCTCATGTAAGTCTTTATCACTAGAAATCTGTAGTGATTCTTGGGCTGACTAGCCGTACACCACACTCTTCCTTTTCATAAATTGATTCTGATTTTTAAAGTCACACCATTTCCTGAACTTCCACTCTTGGTCAAACTCAGTCGCATCTAAGTGGGTAGTTTTTGTCTGGCTACCTCCTTGCTCAGAGGAGCAAGGCCACCACACGGGAAAAAGAGAGCCTGGAGCTCCTGTTGTACTTAGGTATCATAGTCTGGCCATCTGGTCCTTGTAAGCTGAGTGCCCCCTTAGAATGAGTGGTGGGGGCTTGGTCCAGAGAACCCAGACTATCAATCCTTGTCCTGTTTTCAGGAGAAAATGAACAGGATGCGGCAGCGCATCGCCCAGCGTCTGAAGGAGGCCCAGAACACGTGTGCGATGTTGACTACTTTCAATGAGATCGACATGAGGTGAGAACTCTTACTCCCTGTGCCCTTTTTCTTGGAGAACACTTCAACTTTCCCCAGCACTACCTAATGTTGATTCCAAAACAGCAAGAAGAGGTACTTTGCACTGCTCGTTGACTGAAAGAGTGACCCACTGGTCTCGTTCTCTACTTGCTTACCTCTGTAACTTAAAAAACTTAGCCTTTTATACCTGAATCTTGTGATGTCTAATAAATGAGGCTGGTAACGGTGTTAAACTCTGACTAGTGTCCAGTTGCCAAGTAGAGGGCAGCTGGCCTGCCCTTGGGTTGGAGAACCAGTTGATTGCACGCTCAGCCAGAGACCAGTACCCTGCTCCTTTCTCACAGCAACTGCTCCTGATTCACGTTCCTAAGTTTTGAGTGGTGGAAAGGTGCAGGCTTGTCATAGCTTTCACCTTTCCCAGCTGTGATAATGAAATGGAAAGCAAGTTGTGTTTTTCAGTAAAAACCTCAAAAATGTATAACCAAAGGGGCAAATTTAGTATACCCATTTCTTTGGTGAGCTGTTGACTTACCCATTTTCTTCAAGGTTTTTCGTTTTTTAAGATTTTATTTATTCATGAGAGACATAGAGAGTCAGACATGGGCATAGGGAGAAACAGACTCCTTGTGGGAAGCCCGATGCGGGACTCGATCCCAGGACCCCAGGATCATGCCCTGAGCCAAAGGCAAATGCTCAACCACTGAACCACCCAGCTGCCCCTTCTTCAAGGTTTTGATGTGTACAAGTGTCAGCACTGCAGGGAACAGAATATAGTTAAATTTTGCAGTGTTTGAGCACTTACTGTGTATAAGATGCTATACTGTATTTGAGGGGCATACAAAGATAAGTGAAAAGAGCACTACCCTTCTAGAGCTCACCATCTGATTTGGATAAACACAAAGCAAGAGGCACTTGGGTGCTTCATTTGGTTGAATGACACTTGATTTCGGCTCAGGTCAGGATCTCAGGCTCAGTGGGGAATCAGTTTGGGATTCTTTCTCTCCTCTCCTGCCCCTTGTGCCTCTCCCTACCCCTGAGCACTCTTTCTCTCCAAAATAAATCTTAAACCACACATACCCAAAGTTAAATCTAGAAAAAGTATCAGAAGGGTACAGAGTATGAATTGGAGAGAATGAGATCATTTGTTTTTGAGATGGAGGGTAGAGGTGGGGAGGGGAAGTGCTCACAGTGTTTCCTGGAGGAAAGATTTTTAATAGGCCTTAAGGTCCACTAGCATTTTGACACAGGTAGCATTGTGGAGAAGGGTCATTCCAGACAAAATAAATAATAGGAACCTGACACAGGAAAGTACCGGACGCATTTGAGAATTATCTGCTGTGAGGAATATGTGGGAAAGAATAGGAAGAAAGTTGGATCCATACTTCAGAATCTTTTGAATGCCAGACATAAGAGTTTATATTTAATTCAGGAGGTAAATCATGAAGTCTTCAGGTCATCCCTTTGCTGCTTTTTCTTGTTTAGTCTGCTAACCTACTTTTCATTAGGGATATTTGTTTTCTTTTGGAAGGGATCTGAAAAGCATAGAGAAGCGAGTGGTTTATGGACAGTATGCTGTGGTATTGTTCAGAGTTGGGCTCTGTGGCAGGTTTCACTAGATGTCATCCACGCTCTTGTGAAGCTTCTTTAAAAGACTGGATGTCATTCAAGCCAAAGATTTCTCTCCTTCCTATTTGTAGGACATAGGGAAGGACCTTGACTAATGAATCACAAAGGCTGCAGCTTATGTTTCAGTGCATTAGGGCCAAATTGTACACAAATTGAATTGAACTTTGAAATTCTACCTCATTCCTTAAGACAAAACATGTAAATATTTGTGGCCTTGGGAGATGCAGTTGGCCCAGCAGGTTTGATTGGAAGGTAAATGCAGCAGCTGGCTCTCGTTTCAGCAGCTAATCGAGGTGTCACTTAATGATGGCCTGGGGTCTCACTGCAGTCGGTAATGTGGTTTAGATTGAGTGCCCTTGGGTCTTGTGCTGATCAGCTACCCATCAGGGGCCTTTCTGAGACCTTCTCCTCTGCCCTGTTGTCCCAGGCCCTGCCTCCAAGGGCAGAGCTCTGAAATAGAAACTACTTAATGACCAGACAATAGCATTTGGGCAGGTTTGAGAGCAGAGATGTTTATCACATCTCTTTCCCTCTTCTGCAGCTCTTGTGTCTTGGGAACCAGTAATGTCTTTAGGGTGGTAATCCTAGCACTAAATAAGGTTAGACTCAGGAAAACAAACATTTAAACCTCATCAGCACCACCCCCCCCCCCCTTAGGAAAACTTCCTTTTTCAAAGGCAAACAGTCTGAAGGGGGAGTTAAAGTTAGACCATCTTCTCTTTCATGCTAATGACGAATTAGGCCATTATGGGGAGAAAGGGAAACTGAGCATTTGGGTCTGAGGTAAATTCAATTTCCATCACAGAACTGTATTCCGATAAATACTGAGGTTTCTGTGGCAAAATAATGGGAAAGCCATTTCCCACTAACTGCAGTATGTATGTGGCACATCTGTGGAAAACCAATCCTAAATGACCAAAGGCTGTGTGTATTGCATAAGGCTTCCCAGAAGCTCCAGCTGCTTGTACTTTAAAAGCTTAGGTCCACACATGTCTACCTTTCTAATTTTTTTTAATTTTTTTTATTTATTTATGATATTTATGATATTTTTATTTATTTATGATTATGATAAATTTATTTATTTATGATATTTATTTATGATAGAGAGAGAGAGAGAGAGAGAGAGAGAGGCGCAGAGACATAGGCAGAGGGAGAAGCAGGCTCCATGCACCGGGAGCCCGATGTGGGATTCGATCCTGGGTCTCCAGGATCGCGCCCTGGGCCAAAGGCAGGCGCCAAACCGCTGCGCCACCCAGGGATCCCTCTACCTTTCTAAAATACCAAGGAAACCACATCCATTAAACTGATAGGAAGGGCAAGAGCGGTGTTTTTATTATCTTGATGCCCAGCCTTGGCCCTTACATGTGGTGAGTGTTAGCACCTGTTTGAAGGAACAAGTATATGGAACTAACTTTGGGGAGATTAGAAAGGAGTCTGTTGACTTTCCCATGAGCCTAACAGAACACTGGTCTATATGCCTGACCATATATAGTCATGGATGCTTTTGCTCACATGGAGCCCAAACACCTGTGGGTTTTTGTTTTTGTTTTTTTTTTTTTTTGTTTTTTTTTTTAAGGTTTTTTGTTTTCAGTAAGTAAGAGATAGGAAGAATGTCACAAGGAAGTCATAATCAGGTATGGTAGGCTTTTTGGACCTAATTCTAACAAATAATAAGAATGTTGTTTATCTTGTAGACTTTGTTTATGCTTAAAGCATTTTTTTTAGAAGAGAGAGCTCATCATTTTAGGGTAGCTAGAAATCACTTTCTCATCCAGGCAAGGATGTTGGTGTGCTTTGTGATCTCTTATTCATATTATTTGTCACTGAATTCTGTGACTTGTGAAATAAGGAGTCTTGTAAGGGGCTCAGCCTACCTTAAAGACTAATTGGACCCAATTCTTTTTGATTCCAGGTTTTGTAAAGAAGCGAGGTTATTGTATTGACCTCTGCTGGACTATTTCAAAACTTGAACTTAGGTAGATGGTCCAGAGTAAGGGAGCGTTTGGGCCTCAGATACGCTTATCCAGTGTGTACACGGAGTTAGAAACAGGTATGAAAGTCAGAATAAAGGCTTTGTGGTCACCTTGTTTTGTAATATGTTTTTACAGTAACATCCAGGAGATGAGGGCTCGGCACAAAGATGCTTTTCTGAAGAAACATAACCTCAAACTAGGTTTCATGTCAGCATTCGTGAAAGCCTCAGCCTTTGCCTTGCAGGAGCAGCCTGTTGTAAATGCAGGTGAGTTTGTGGTGGCTGGACTTGAAGCAGTCCTGGGAGGTGTGTGCAGAAACAGACTTGCTCCTATACACAGAAAGCTGGGGTCAACACACTGAAACTTTTCTTTCATACCTGTGAAAACATGAGTGTCTTTGCCCAGATATTTATTGTTTCACCTTCCTGAAATGATATCATGATGATTTTCTACCCACTAGCTGGACAGAATGGTTTTTCTTCCTAATTCATAGCTTGACAGCTGCTCTGCCAGCAAACATTTCTGAGCCCAGCTCTCAGGGCTTCTCATGTCAGGGTGGAAGCTCATGTTCTATCTTGCTCCTGCCTTCCTATGGGCCCCAGGATCTTGGGGCCTGATTCCCCCACTTGGCATATGCTCCAGGGTGACCTTTGATTTCTGGTCGATGGACCTCAATGGAAGGCCTTGGGCTTGGCCCCTTTTTCATGGACTTGGTGCTCATTTTCCTTCCTTTCTGCTCACCTACGTCATTGAAATGTTGACCTAACAAGCAGTTCTCTTTCCTATTGAGACACTTCTCTGTTCTCTGGAAGGTTAGAGGACAGTACACTTTTGCAATCCTCAGCAGTGCCAGCGTCCCTAAAGATTTAGGAACAGAAGCCCTAGTCCTTTTCATGTGTGTTGTGCTCTAGGTAGGTAGAGGGCTGTCTTTGTTTTGCCCAAGTATGTACCTCCTTGTTTTTCTGTTCTTTTCATGCTTCCTGATTGGCTCTCTATTCCTTTCTTCTGTCCGCCTGTACATGGAGGCATTTCCGAGTTATTTTGGCCTCTTTCTCACTTTACGTGCTTTTCCTTGGTGGCTGACCTAACAACACAACATAGACTTTCTGTGGAAAAGATTCTCAAGCCTGTATTTTCTCATGAGCACTAGACCTGCATTTTCAGCTGCTGGTTTGCTGTCTTACACTACCCTGCTTCCTCCGGAGTCTCCTAGAAGGGGCTTCCTTCACCTCTTGACAGTAGGCAGTGGAGTGGATGGCACTCCCACCCCTCCCTTTGCTAATTTGTCTTTTGGAGAGCACTATTTTTTTTGTTTTAAGATTTTATTTATCCATTTGAGAGAGAGCATGAGCTGGGAGAAAGGCAGAGGGAGAGGCAGACTCCCAGCCAAACAGGAAGCACAATGATGGGGCTCAATCCCAGGACACTGGGATTGTGACCTGAGCTGAAGGCAGATACTCAACTGACTGAGCCACCCAGAGGCCCCTTGGGAGCACTTTTTAAACCTAGCCATTCTCTGTTAAGGGAGGGTTTGGGCAGAGTTAGTTAAAGAGAACTTCTTGCATACCTGTTCTGTGTGAACCAGTGTACTGAGCCCTTCTGAGGGCTGCTTAAAAATGGGTGCTCCTATGCTTGGGCTCAGGGCACCTAGGAGATGTTACAACTGGTTGTTCAGCCCACACTATACCAAGCATGTGGATTTTCACTCTGTTAATGCAAGTATTTCCACATTAGCCTAGGCTTAGGGAGTTGTATGTAACCTATATTTTCTCTTACAGTGATTGATGACGCAACCAAAGAGGTGGTGTATAGGGATTATATTGACATCAGTGTCGCGGTGGCCACCCCACGGGTATGTTAGGGAAAGAGGTGGTGAGCTCTGATCTTAAACTGACTTTGTATGAAAAAGCAGACCCTTGGGGGAGAGAACATTTCTGTAATTCTATCTTTTCAGAAGGGAGTCAGTAAAAGAGTAACCTCTTGACCACACCACATTCTTTTATTTTTTATTTTTTAAAGATTTTTATTTATGAAAGACAGAGAGAGGCAGAGACACAGGCAGAGGGAGAAGCAGGCTCCATGCCGGCAGCCTGATATGGGACTCGATCCCGGGTCTCCAGGATCTCGCCCTGGTCCCAAAAGCAGGTGCTAAACCGCTGAGCCACCCAGGGATCCCCCTACCACATTCTTTTAATGTCAAGCCTAAGTATTTTAGACTCTGAATCCTATTGAATAATTAAGATACTCGATGGGGAGGGGAAAACCTCTACTTGAAACAAGGGAGTTATAGTTATAAAGGGTACTATTAATTTGCAACTGAAAACCGCTTTTCACCGTCAATCAGGGTCTGGTGGTTCCCGTCATCAGGAACGTGGAAGCTATGAATTACGCAGATATCGAGCGAACCATCAGTGAACTGGGAGAGAAGGTAAAGTGGAAAAGCAGCATGTGTGTCAGCTGCTGGGTCAGAGAGGAGGAGTCAGGGAAGGCCAGGCTCCCCAGTGGGCAGTTGTCAGGGAATGGGAGCTGCACTCTGCTGGCTAAGGTGTGCAGAGCCCGAGACTGGCAGTCACACCCAGGAGCCAGAGGCTAGCTCTCTGGCAGAGCTTAGCGTGTTTCTGTCATGGAAGACATCGGGAGGCCTCTTGGGGAAAGCAAAGGTCCTTACGGCATCGTGCCTATCCTCTGTGGAGCCCTGGCTACAAGCATCTCAACTGAACAGTAGCTAGAAGTTGAACTGTCAGTCTCAGAAGTCTTCTGGGCTCTCTTTAGGTGGAGAAAGCTGGGTTGCACTTAACGTTTCAGTTATTAAATCTCCATTCTTAGGCCCGAAAGAATGAACTTGCTATTGAAGATATGGATGGTGGTACTTTCACCATTAGCAACGGAGGTGTTTTTGGCTCGCTGTTTGGAACACCCATCATCAACCCCCCTCAGTCGGCCATCCTGGGCATGCACGGCATCTTTGATAGGCCAGTGGCTGTGGGAGGCAAGGTAGGAACTATCACTGCTAATGTCCTAGCAGCTAGATAAGAGAAAGCTATTAATCATGCCTGAAATTATAGCGAATCTGTCCTGAGTTCCATCTCTTAGTTTCTTTTCTTTCTTTTTTTTAAGATTTTATTTATTTATTCATGAGAGACACACACAGAGGCAGAGACACAGAGAGAAAAGCAGGCTCCCATCAAGGAGCCTGCTGCGGGACATGATCCCTGAACCCCAGGATCATGCCCTGAGGTGAAAGTAAAGTTCAACCGCTGAGCCATCCAGGTGTCCCATCTCTTAGTTCCTTAATAGCTAAGGCATTGATCCTCAAATGGTGTGTGTCAGCATCATTTGGGAACTTGTTAGAAATGCAGAATTCTTTGACCCCTTCTCAGACCTGATGAAGCAGAAACTGCAGATGATTAATACAAATTAAAGTGTGAAGACCATGGAATTGAGGTGGCTTGCTCCTTCATCTGGAGTGGTCCTCGAGCTCCATTCTCTAGGTGCTGTTGGTAGTGGGGACACAGTTGGAAACGTCCTTGCCCCTGGGAAACAGAGGGCAGCAATGAAGAACTTTACGAGCACCCAGGTTGTATGAAGGTTTAGTGGTTTCCTGGGAATTTAGGGAATGAAGTTAAAGGGTCCTGAGCTGGCTTTAGAAGATAAGCTGGTAGAAAATATTTCTGGGACTCCTGTTTGGAACCTTTTTGTGTCACTAACTCCTTGGTGAATCCAAAAATCCTAGGTCTTCTCCCTTGAAAATGCTCACATACCCAACTTCGCATACAATTTCACAGAACTTTGAGGATCTTTAGTTACTTTTTAAAATTCTGACCCTAAAGAAGAAACTTCCAGTTGCCAGAATTGAAGGGAAAAGTTTTCCTTTAGACAACAGATAAATGAAAGAGCAGAGACTTTTTCCCCCCCCTCAAAGTTTGAGAGAGGAGGACATGTGTGTGGTGGGAGGGGAGCTCCTCAGGTTCCCCGCTGAGCATAGACCCTGAGGTCATGATCTGAGCCAAAATCAAGAGTTGGGTGCTCAACCCAACTGAGCCAACCAGCCGGCCCAAGAATGTTTTTAAAAGGCACAAGAGGAAACTATTTTCTTGGTTAAGCTTTCTTGAATGGGAAAACTTTGCACTAACGGTAAGCCTTGGTCTTTGAAAATATAAGTATCCAGAAGCAACATCAATAGGAAAAGCTCTGGAACTGGAAACTTCTCTATGGGCTATGCTTTCTCATCTCCCCATTTCCAGTGGGGCTTCCTCTGCTGCAGATAAATCTGTCAACCTGTCCTGTCTGTAGGTGGAGGTGCGGCCCATGATGTACGTGGCATTGACCTATGATCATCGGCTGATCGACGGGAGAGAGGCAGTAACTTTTCTCCGCAAAATCAAGGCGGCGGTAGAGGATCCCAGAGTCCTACTACTGGACATCTAGGAGGAAGCCACACCCCCTACACACCAACCATGCAGGAACTGAAAACCAGTCTTCTCCCTGTCCCCTCATGGGTCCCAGGCTACCCTGGTGCCAGGCACATGTTGTTGGCCTCAAGCAAGGAAACCAGGGCACTGTGTAACCAGCACCCACAGGTCTTTTCGTGGTATTCTACCCTCCCCCTCTCTCCACCCTTCTCTTACACTCGAATATCTTGAGGCTTGAGGGAAAGAGAGCCATAGTGGATGCTCATCACTATTCCTCCCCTTCTCCCAGTAGTCTTTTGCAAAGGTGATGTTGCTTCTCCCCTGTGCCAGTGTACTATATATAGGGAAACCACTGGGGACCATGTGATCAAGTTTGTATCTTTTGAAAGTCTGTTCTCCAGAGCCGCCTCGGAGGATGTGGTGTCTCCCAAGCTCACGGCAGCCTCTGGCCTGGCTGTGCACATTCTCACTTGGTTCCACCTAGGTAGAGGTATTGACCACAGGCCCAGAGGTGCTGCTTGCTGCTTAAAGGACACGTTCATTTTCTGCTGCCATGGACTTTAGGATGTCTCTTCTACCTCGTCCAGGAAGCACAGGCCAGGGGCTCAGGGAAGGGGGGAGTAGGTCCCTGTTAAAGGGGGTGGTACAAAGTCGTCCCCCCCCCCCCCCAGAGGTAGTATGGTGTAGACAGGACAGGAACAGAGCCCATCCTCCATCAGAGCTCTATTTTGGCACAATAACAGCTGTGATCGTGCTGACCTTTCTGGGCTGCTTGGAACCATTCTAGCACATGGCAGTGAGACAGGGTGTGGTGCCAAGATCGAGAGCCTGGTGAGGTTGGGGTGAGGAGGCTTCCTGTGGACTGGCTTGGATTGATTTGAGCTTTTAAAGGCCCTGGGTGGAAGCACTCGGACTGAAGCGGCAGCTGTTTCTCTGCATCATGGCCCTTGGGGAGTGGGGCCTAAGTGCTTCATCTGCAGAACGCGGGGTCTCGGGAAGGGTGGACCGTGGTTGAAACCAGCCCCAAGATGCTAACACACCTCTGCGGTGATACTGTCCTTTGGGTCTGGGTACAATCATTGGAATTGCCTGGAGCAAGTTTAAATACTTGTCAGGAGCTTCATCACTTTGTATCCAGCTGCATCCAGGTCTGAGGCAGTGGCCACTTGACACCAGGAGCCACTTAGTGCCCCTTTGGATCTTGAGCAGAGAAGCAAGGCTTGGGGCAGGAGGGGGTTGGGAGCTGATACTGAGTGCCTGCAGCATCTACTCTGTCTTCACTATTCAGAACTTGTAACTAAAATATTTAAAGAAACTGATTTTAAATGCAAATTAAAGGGCAAATGTTCTCAAAAGGTTTCTGCTTCCTCGCTCCTTTTAGTTCCCACTGTACCCATCCTTGCTGCTGCGTCCATCCCAAGCCTTGGAAGCCACAGTGTGTCCTGGTGGCTATCCTGTGAGATCCCAGACTTCTGAGGCTCCCCCTGTGTTAACTTGACAGCAGGTGGAACCCTAGCTGTGTGCTGCCAGGAATGTGCCTGGCTTCCTTTGGCTGGGCCCCTCCAGCCTGACAGGCCACACCCTTGAAGAGACTTGGCGATGACTTCACAAAGGTTACCAACATCTGGCATTTTTGTGGGGGCTTGCAGCATCTCTGGGATGGATTAAGGAGGTGGGTGCAACTCCTAGTGTCCCATTTTGGACTGGGTTGCCACATGTATACCAGGGTGCTGGGGCTCGGTAAGCACAGACTGGGGCGGAACACCACCAGGGAGCAAGTGGCCGGGTGGGGAGCTAACCTAGACCACAGGTCCCTGGCCTAGGGTGTCTGAGCTTGAAAACAGCCTGTTCTTTGCACACAGTTCCCCACCTGCTGGTCCTGTGGTGATGTCACCTCTAGGTGAAGGTCTGTCACAGGAACAGATGGCTCCAGAGGGTAGAACTAGAGTTCATAGGTGGGGGAAATGGGTTCAATGAAGGCCAAATTATAGAATTAACCTGTCCTGGGCTTGGTGCTAGAAGTTCTAGTAAACCTACAAAGGAGGTGTTAGCCCCATTATGTCAAAACAAGGTAGACTATAGGCCCCATAAGGGTGGGGACAACAGTTTTCAGAGCCCAGCAAAGCCGCAAGTGTGCAAATATTGCACGGATGAGGCCCAGAAGTTCCAGAAGCAAGTCACACTTCATGTGGCAGTGGTTGGAAGCAGTCCAAGCTGTGTAGCCAAAGGAACAGACTTGCAGACAGGTTCCACTAGGCTCTGACCAGGTCCTATCGGTAGTGTCTTTAATGGGAGCCACCACCCATCTCTGGGGTCACTGAGGATTAAGACTAGTGTCCTGTCTCCCCCACCCCCTTCTCCCAGGTACCTGACCCTCTTTTAAGACTTATTTTGCTACTTGTATTTCCCACAGATCCCAGTGCCCCCCTACATGCCATCGCTTCCTCAGGTCAAAGCTTCTCTGCAGGGCACAGGCTGGCAGGCCCCTCACCAGCCCCACCTCCTACCTTCTGGTGGACTCCAAGCTCTCTACTGTCCTGGAGCTTCTCTGGGGGAGCCCTCCGCTCTCCCTTTTGGCAGGGCTGCTCGTTGCATTCAGGAGGCCAGGACACCATAGGCAGCAGTAGACTTTATTGGGGGGCAGGGGGGTGGGGGGGCGGTATGGACAAGCCCCAGGGAAAATGCACACAGGCTGTGCTTCCCCGGGTGCCCTCTGCAGGAGCGCTCCCTACCCCTAGACTTAGCCTTGGGCCTTCACAGCCCGACTGGAGCTGTCAGAGGCGCCACCTGGTGGTGGTGGGGACACACTGGAACCAGGGAGTTGGGGGCAGAGGTCTGGTGGAAATGTGTCCTAGGGGCCACACCCCAGTGACAGGGTGAGCACCGAGAGGAATAAGACGGCCCCCAAACCTGGGGAGGGGGCTGTCTTTGGGGTAACTACTTACCCCAGCTCTTCAGGGACCAGAAATATTTTGCTTCTGGCTAAAAGCTTAGGCAATCATTCCATGTGTTTTGTGAAGTCACAGTGGACGGTGAGCTGAGGTGGACCCTCACGACGAAAATGCAAAATGGTAAACAGGACAAACGTCCGAGAAGAGAGAAGGGAGTCCTAATGGGCACGAAGTGTGGTAGTGGCTTCAGCCTGGAGGCTGCAGCACTGTGGTCCCCGCTCAGGCCCACAGGCAGGGCCCCCTCTCCACACTGGTGGGCTAGCTGGGGAAGGGAGCTCTTTATTCAGTTTTCAAAAGGACAGTGGCAGAGCCATGCTCCCCCCCCCACCCCTTTTCCTCTCCTGCCTGCCTTTGGTTCTTCAAAGTCTGAACTCACAAGGGGGCATGGAGGGAGGGGAGTGGCTCATCCTGTCCCCCAGCTCACCTCATGCCTGTGACATTCCTGCTTCCCCAGCCTCCCCACCCCCCACAGGAGTAGCCTGGGAGCCAGAGAGGCCCGCTCGTTGCCGGGCTAGGATGAGCAGGCGGGGCAGCCCTGGTTGGGGCCCACTGAGCCAGTGGACCAGTATCCTGAGATGAGTCTCCAGAGCTGTCCCAAGCGGGCGCGTGGCAGCTAGTGAGTCAGGAAAGCTTGCAGCCCACCGAGCAGGCGGTCAGGAGCTCGGAGCCGTGCTGTGGAAGGCACCCTTCAGCACGGCAGGTCTGCAGCCAAGGTAGAGGGAGCTGCTGACTGGCGGGTGGAGGATGGATGGGCCGAGGGTTCGAGCTGCCCGGCGGGTGAGCTCCCGGTCCCTCCCCCTCAGCAATGACCAGAGAGGGTCTGCAGAGCCGGCTGGGGAACGCCCAGGCCCTTCTGGGCGGTGGCGAGGGGGACGATGGTGCCCAGGAATGGCGCTGAGCAGGAAGGGCAGCTGCCCTGGCTTCTTTGTCTGAGGGTCACTGATTAGAGGGCCAGCTCTGGGTGGCAGGCAGAGGGGAAAGGAGATCCAGACCAGTCCAGCAGCTTCCACGACCCACTCTGCCCTCTCTTACCCCACCAGTTTGCTCCACTGGGTAGTGCTGAAAAAGGGGTGGGCCTTGAGCTTGTTGACACCCAGGCGCCGGGCAGGATCAAACTGCAGCAGCTGTGGAAAAAGCCCAGAGGGCTTAGCAGGCCTTCCCAGCCCCTTCGCAGAGGCATGGGCTGTCTGGGGGATGATGGGGGTCCCCAGTCACCACTCCTAGCCTCCTGGCCCTCGGAACCCCCAGTGGTACCCTGGGGGACTTGTGTTGTTTGGCCACCAGCATATACAGATCTGTTGTCCCCATCACCCTCCTGCACCCGGCATCAGACATCCAGCATGTGGGGCTGCCGTTCATACCAGGGCTGTGCCCTCCCAGCACCCACCCTCGGGCCAAGAAGCCACCTCCGCAAGGCCAGCTGTAGCTCACCTCAGTCAGCAGAGAGGCCGCTGGGTGACTGAGCCACTCGGGCAGCTGTAACTGGGTATGGGGCTGGATTCCCGAGGGGTGGCTCTGCGACAGTGCCTGGGAAGATACGGAGGGGGCAACTCCAGGATGTGTACACCCTAGTGGCAGCCAAGATTTGCTTCCCCCCCCCCCCCGCGTCCCCTCCGATGGGGATGATGGTTGCCTTTTGCTTTGGAGCTACTGCACACCAGGCAGTGGGAGATGCCCGACATCTCTGATCCATAATTTCCACAACAGCCATCAGAGTAAGTCCTAGTATCCTTAATTTAAAGGTAAGAAGCAGGCTCGGGGAGGTAGAGAGATTTATGTGGAGTTCAGGGTTTGAACCCAAGTCCCCCTGGCTCCCAGCTTGCCAGAAGCATCGATCTTGGGTTGCATTCGGGGCAGGCACTCTACCAGGAACAGCACTGGCCCTTGTCTCCTTACAGAAAGAAGATGTGCACAGCAGGCCACAGTATGCCACCATCAGGGCCACGGCAAGACCTCCCTGCGCCCCAGGACGGTGCAGCCCTGGGGCACAGAGAGGCCTTTTGGGGGTCAGAGCCCCAAGAGGCAACCAGGAGGAAGGCCAGGAGCCCTGGGCTAGAGAAGCGGTGGGAGGCGGTGAGAGAGAACCCCACTCTTGGGGGCTGTTTACAGCCAGGAGCATCAGAGGCCCCAGCTATGGGACAATGACAAGAGGGCGCCTGGACAGATGGCAGGCCACACTTCAGTCATTTCCTGCCCAACTGTGGTCTGGCCTTTCCCTCCCTGCCCCAGGTGTGGTGCTGAGCTCATGGAGGGCACAGAGGGCGGAGGCCCCCGCCCCCAGCAGGGCTGCCTGCAGGGGCAGCTTTGAGCCCTCAGCTGAGCGGGGCTGGACAGGGCAGCTGCCGGCCAGGATGGAGGCCCTCTCCCGTCCTTCAGCCAAAATCTGGAGGTTACAGCCCAGATGTGTGTGGGTGGGGAACGAGCAGTGGGAAGAGCTTGGGGGATGATGATTCAGGAGCCTTCCTGGGAAGAAGAGTTGTGTCACATTCCATCCTCCCTCCAGCCCTGCACCCATGTGTTCTCTTCCAGAAACCTTCCCTGACTATCCCAACTCAACTCTCATTTACCCAAGCCGACAGAGTCACTTGTTACAGCCACTAGTGTGGCAGGGGTGCTCCGTGTATCCGTGACCTGGGTGAGAGTGGCCTCCCAGGTCTCTCATGGCCTGTGGGGGCAGTTGGGGGGTGGGGACAGCCAGGTCTTGGAGAACCAGGTAGCCTCAGCCCCCACACTGGCTGGTTGGACTAAGCCGAGCCCATCCTGCGCACAGTGACACCCACAGAGCTCCACACCCGGCCCAGCTACTCACAGTTCCAGTCAGCATTTCATACAGCAGAGACCCAAAGCTCCACCAGTCACAGGCCTCCGTCAGCTCAGAGATCCCCCCCACCTCTGTGGGAATGAGAACACACACGTCCCAGCCTCACCCAGGAGGGCTGGTCTCCACTCTACTCGTCCTACCCAGACGTGGCCCCTTCCCTCTGTCACCCTCAGTGCCCCCCAGCTCAACCCACAGAGGCACCCAAGATCTAGACACCACCCCCCCGCCATCCCCGCTCCCTTCTTGCCTGGGGCGCTGTAGAGATTGTCCAAAGCCTCCCTGCAGCAGTGAGGCTCCACCTCTGACCACTGGCCAAAATACGTGAGCCGGATGTGACCTTCTCATCCAGTGCGTGCAGGGAGGAATAAAGGTGAACAAAAATCATGGTCCGTCATCACTGAGCAGGTGACATGGGGAGGGGACTCCAGAGCCTCCCCCCACAAGTCACAGAGCAGGAGCCAGCGGCCACACTGGGCACAGCCACCCTCGGGCCTGGTCCCCTGAGGCCCAGAGACAACCAGGTATCCCTGAGGAGGGCCGCCCTGGACTCGGGGTGAGGAGGGGAGGGCTGGTTTTCCAGGCTCGACCTTGGCCAACCAGACTGTGCGGAGTCCTGCATGAAAAGGCCGGGGGGAGGCAGAGGGAGCAGATAGCTTCCGAGGTCCCCTTGACCTTGGGGCCCTCTCATGCTGGGTTGGATTTGGGGGCCCCGTGTGAGAGGTGGGGTGAGGGCGGCCTAATCCCTGCGCCCCGGCCTAGGCACCTACCTGCCTGGTCCAAAAGCAGGTTCCGGGGATTGAGGTCTCGGCACAGCACCCCCTGCTCGTGCAGTGCTTCCAGGGCCACCAGCGTCTCGGCCGCCCACTGCTTCACCTGCTCTTCCTTCACACACCAGGCACCCCTGCTGCACCCTGGGCTGGCCCGATCTGCTAAGGGGCGGCTCTGGCTTCGGCCTCGGCCACAGGCCCCCAGCACCCGGACAGCCCCCTGATGAACCCAAGGGAGCCCCCAAGAGGGCCTCATGTCCGAGCTCTGGCCAGGTCCTCGCCCAGTTTGGAGGTGCAGGCGGCCACCTGGGGCCTTCAGAAGGTCTGAGGGGCAGGAGGTATGGGTCCTGGCCGAGGGGTCACCTTCGGTCTCTCTCCATGGAGTGATGGATGGGGCCTCCCTGGCTGGGGAAAGACTCCGAGAAGTCCGTGGAGGCTCCAGAAGGATCCTGTCCTGCAGGTGGGTGGGGCCCATGGGGAGCAGTGCTGGGGTCTGGAGGCCGCGGGGTGAGTTGAGTGAAGACTTCGTCCTTTCTGGGCTGAAGCCAGACCTGAGCCCAGGCTGTTGGGGGTGCTTCTGGGAGAGCAGGTGGGACCAGAGAGTGCCTCCTGGGCCATGCAGCGGGGGCAGGGGAGAGGAAGAGTGTGGACACCAGGTCCCCAACTCCTGCCTCCCCTCATGTCCTCACCTGTGCCCCTTCCTCCTCAGCCTGGAATGCCCTCTGCTGTCCCTCTGACTCACCCAGAGGGGACCCTGCCTCACAAGCTGGCACAAAATAGGGGCTTAACCACAAGGTAGTTGTAAATCATCACTCCTGTCCTTGGTTTGGGTGGTAGGTTCCCCAGTGCTCAATATATTACACTTTCTACTTTCTTTTTTTTCTTTTCTTTCTTTTTTTTTTTTTTTTAGAGAGAACAGTATAATAAAACTTAAGTAAAAAAAAATAAAAGAAGGCCAGGCAGGGACCTGCAAAGACCATATGTCATGATCCATGTGTCCTTCATTAAAAAAAAAAAATCGCTATAATAGGGTGATCGATAAATATCTGTGCCGTGACCCCATTGCTGTCCTCATGGCTTCAGGCACCACTATCCCACTTGGCCACTCCAAAGAATGGGCACAGACTAGAAAAGTGAAGAGCCGAGACTGGAGGAAAAGGTGACAAAGGGTACATCTGCACCAACTCCCTCACTGCCCAGGACGTGAGCCTCCCCCTCAAGGTGTCCCCTGCCCCCTGCCAGCACCTCACGGAGGCCACAGCCTGATCCTGCCATCCGCCCCCAGCGCACCTGGGTCCCCTGGCTGGGGCTGCACATCTGGTGCAAGTTACCCCCTCCTCGTGCTTGGCATTTTAAGGAGATGAAAGAGGACATGCCAAAGGCCTGAGGAGCTCAGGGCCCTGAGGTCCCCTCACCTTGCACGTGCTCCAGCTGCAGGAAGATAGAATCCTCACTCACGAAGTACCGAAGCAGCTTGGTCATGTAGGGGACGCCATGCGGGATGATGGTCAGCCGCTCCCGGTTCGCCACATGACACCTGGACAGGCTCTGGGGGCAGGGCAGGCAGGTCAGCTGGGGCCAGACCAATAGAGAGGGTGCCCTGCCAGGGGGTGTCCTAGCCTGGCTCTCGGCACAAAGAGATGACAAGGGGTAGATGCCACCCCTGAGGAGCAACCGCCTCCCCCCCCAATTCCCGACCTGGCCCTCACCCTCACTTCCACCATGGAATCCAGGCCCCCCACCCTCCGAAATAAGGGTGAGACAGGACAGGCTTTTGGGAGGCAGGGGACATGCTCAGGGGCAGACCAAGCAGCTTCTAGATTTGGAGGGAGCGTGGGGTAGGAGGTTCCCCACAGGGGAGGTTTCCAAGTCCCAGGGGGAATGCAGAGTGGCAGGGGACTAGGTGGCACCTGCCTTCACCACGAAGGTCCCTCCAGTTGCTGGGTCCTGGACCAGCTGCACCTGCCAAGATCCAGGAGGCACCGGTCAAGGCACGTACTAGTTTCTGGGGCTCCATGACCCGAGCCCCAGCCCCCCAGGCCCCCCCATCGAGGCCAACTCACTCCAGGGCAGGCTGTAGTGGTACAGACCACGCCCCTGGCCCCCACCAAGCCGGCATCGATCCTGTCCTGCTCATCCACCTTTGTCAGACCGGCAGGATTAGCGCAGGTGCCAACCCTCAGGTCAGCCTGGGAGCCTGAATCTGTCCCCAGTGCTCTCTGGGCTCTCCCTTAGGGAACCCTGGCACAGCGTCCCATTTCCTGTTTCCCCACTTGGCTATAAGCAACATGAGGGCAGGGAGCCCCATGTTCCCAGAGTCCCGCACAGTGAGGGATGCTGTAGGTGCCTCATACATGCACGGCGAGTGGTCCATCCTGCAGGCTTGTGGGTGTCACAGCTGGGCGGGACCTTGGAGCCAGTCACCTCTTCTGATCACTTATTTTACAGATGAAGCAGCTGAGGCTCTGAGAGTGCGGCCCAAGGTCACCCACGGGCCGAGCTGTACCCGGGAACACACGGGCTCGGCATGCTCCTTCGGGTCGCTTCCCCTGCCTGCCCACCCCCCTCTCTGGAGGCTGTCTTGGGAGAGCAGCCCTCTTCTCCTGTGGCTTCTGGTTTGAGGCAGCACCCTGCCAACCCCTGGGTCAGGGCCTTGTTTGAAGTTGAGTCCCTGACTCATCTCTGTGACGGGCAGGGGTGGGCCCCAGCCACAGGAGAGTGCAGGGGCAGCTGGGGCAGGAACGCAGGAGGTTTGGCCAGGTGAGGGGCAGATGGGGGCAAGCCCACCACCCTGCTGTTGTGACTCCTCGGCTGCCTGCCTGCCCTGCAGACACTTCGCCACCCTGAGGTGAGGTCAGGCCACCAGGCCATCACAAAGGCTGCATCCGAGGATTGGGGTGGCAAAGGGGCAATGAGTTTAAAACCTGGGCAAGTGAATGTTCTCATCTACCCAACAGGAATTACAAATTACATTACTGATTTGTTAAGGTCATAAATAGAAAGGCCCTAGGGAGACCTGGGTGGCTCGGCAGTTGAGTGTCGGCTCAGGGTGTGATCCAGGGGTCCCGGGATCGAGTCCCATATCGGGCTCTGCACAGGGAGCCCGCTTCTCCCTCTGCCTATGACTCTGCCTCTCTCTGTGTCTCTCATGAATAAAATCTTTAAAACAAAACAAAATAAAAACCAGAAAAGCCCTTTGCTTCTATAAAGGCCAGGAGAATGCTAGTTTTCCCACCTGCCACATCACACCGCCTCTCTTGTTCAACTGCAAAATGGGGTCACATCATAGCTCCTGTGGGTCAGGAGGAGGACCCCATCACAGCAGCCACGTAAGACACCCTCAGTAACCTGTTCTGACTGTTCCTGACACTGTCATCGGGGGACCCCATGCTGGCTACAGAGCTCTTCTTCTGTGCTAGGTGCTTTAGAGGGATTGTCTCACTGTAGCCCCCACAGCCCTACCACATGAGCATTATTAATGACCCATTTTAGTGATGAGGAAGTTGAGATTCAGAGATGTGATGTTACCAATAGTCCCGCTGCTAAATGGTGGTGGGACCAGGATTTGAATCCTGCCAGGGCTGATCCCCAAGCCCTGGAGACCTAACTGCAAGGGGGCGCTGCCCTCCACCCTGGACCTCAGTGCCCCCATCACCAGTGCCCTTCCTGAGGCAGCAGAGATGCATGCCTTCCGACCGCCAGAGGTCTCTCCTCCAACAGCCAGAGATGGATCCCAGCCTGGCCCCAGCTCCTTGACCAAATTTGTGCAATGTCTGAAAAACCAAGGAAGAAAACTCTGGGGTCATTTAAGAGAATCAAGTTTCCCACAAATACTGACACCCTGGATAAGTCCCGACTGTCGCTTGCCAAGTGGGATTCCCTACCACCTTGTCCTGGCAAAGGTCCGCTCATACAGAGTCCAAAAAGCCAGCAGTGATGGCTGGGGAGAGCCAGATACAAAACTTGATCAGTATTCTGGAATGAGTGTGTTTAAATATATACGTATATTTAATACACGCATGCACACACACATCCCTATCTAGAAAGAATTAAACCAGTACATTAATAGCCATTATCTTGGAACTAGGTAGGATGGTGGGGAATATATAGATGTTGTTTCAACTCCTTTCTCTTTCCGATCTCAAAAGCAGAGGGAGCATTTTTCCCCTTAAAGCAAGCAAATAAAAAATCCCCTTCCTCTTTTGCTCAGTTTAACTGGGGACAGAGCACTAGCTAGTCACTTGACGTTATGACTCCGTTCCATTCTCTGTAAGACAATTTTTTTTAAAGATTTTATTTATTCCTGAGAGATAGAGAGAGAGAGAGAGAGAGAGAGAGAGAGAGAGAGAGGCAGAGACACAGGCAGAGGGAGAAGCAGGCTCCATGCAGGGAGCCCGACGTGGGACTCGATCTCAGGTCTCCAGGATCATGCCCTGGGCCGAAGGCACACGCTAAACCGCTGAGCCACCCATTGATCCCTAAGATAATTATTAATACGCAGCACTGTCCAGGGCCCCTGGGGGGCACAGTCAGTTGAGTGTCCGACTCTTGGTTTTGGCTCAAGTCACAATCTCGGGGTCATGACACAGAGCCCCCAGAATTGGGCTTTGTGCTCAGTGCGGAGTCCACTTGGGTTTCTCTCTCTTTCTCTCTCCTCTCTCCCTCTGTCCCTTGCCCCCACCCCTGCGAGCAAGCTCTCAAATAAATATTTTAAAAAATAAAATGCAGTACTGTCCAATAGAACATGAAAAAAAGATAGCTACACTGTCCAATACAGAAGCCATTAACCATATGAAAAGTTATCAAGCCCTTGAAATGTGGTTGGTGTGAATGAGAAGCAGAATATTTCATTTTAACTAATTTGAACTTCTATAGTCTTCTGTGGCCCCTTCCTGGATGGGGCTGTGCAGGATAGTGCTTTTTCCCCCAGGGCCACCTAGAGGGTTTAATGCAACAGTTTTGCAAATGAGAATGTGCCTTACTAATGTCAGGTGAGTGTTGCCATTTGGAGGGTGGAAGGTAGTTCTGGGCGCCCCCTTTGCATCTTTTTATAAAGGGAATTTTTTTTTTTTTTTAAGATACCCACTGAGTTCTTGAGACACGGAACAATGAAAGCTTTGGTGAGACACATTAACCCTTCCTTTAAGTAATGCCCAAAGTATCAAAATCCCAGGAGGACTCTCTCATGGAGCAAACAAATCCAAAAGTTCCAAACAGATTCCCAAACCCCACGCCCCACAGGGGCCTGGGATGTGAACCAAGGGGGCAGGGCAGGGGCAGGAGCAAACCAGAGGACTGGTGTCCCATGGAAACGGACAGCACCCCCACTCCCCTACTCCTGGCTGCTACTGGAGAATGTGAGCCAGCATTTCCAGATCTTCCAATCTTACAGGAGAAGCAGGAAATCTGGATTTCTATACGAAACCTGCCAATTTTTAAATGTTGGTAAGTAATGATCATTTTAAAAAACACCCCTGGGGTGAGCCAAAAAAACAAGAAGTAAACTTGGATGGCCTTCATTTTCTTCCCCATCCCTGGCTCCTACATGAGGCTCAGCAAACACGTGGTGTTATCTCTCAGGCCCTCCCATGCTCCCCGAGAACAAACCCCTGGGTATTGTAGCCAGAGGCCTATCTAGTCCCTGACCCGACCCACAGTTCCCCGCAGCCCCCTATCCCTTGCCAGTACCTCTTTAGCCCCTAGGAACCCCCATTCCAGACCAGCTAACCTGACAACTGGGCATCTCTGGGGGGCGCTCCTGGCTTCCTGAGCAGGCCCTCTGCCCCTCCATGGCCCCTGGGCAGCTGGCCCTCCTGCCAGGATGTGCCCGGCCACGGCTGTAGGACTGACTGCACCCACAGCACATCCAGGCCTGGCTGCGGGGACCTGGCCCAGTGGCCCTACCACCTCTCCTTATTTGTGGAAGATGGTGTCCCGACTTGGAAATGACACAAGAAAAGGAAGCTAGATCTCAGGGGGGGTGGGCGATGGGGGGAGGTAAGCTCGGTGCCCAAGAAAGGGTAAAAATGCAAAGAAAGACAATTTCAAGACAGAACGGTTGGGCTTGGCCTTAATGTATGCTTTCCACGTGCACAGGCCTCAGAATACTAGATTCTGAAAATCCTTTGCCTATGTGTGTCCTGGGGTCAAACAAATTCGGGAAATTCTACTAGAGACCTCCTTCTCGGAAACTCATGGTATACGTTCACATCCTGAGAGCTCTGCAAACTGGGATAATTAAAAAAGTCATGTCACTTTAACCCACGCTTGTTTGACCTGGAGCCCTTCTCTCCACAACACCTACAGTGCAGCGGGGGTCCCCGGTGACGAGAAGGCGGTGGCGGTCACCTCCTGGCCTGGCAGTGGGAGCCGCTGTGCTGGGCTGCGGCCACGCAGACTAGTGTAGTTGGAGGGAAGGCAGATGGAAGCTGGCCGGGCCTTGGCTGACAGACTGGGGCCTGTTCCAGGGACCCGGGGAAGCAGCTGGAGCGCGGCTGGGGGACGGGAAGCCCGCACGCCTCTCTCCGGCTCGCTCTTGTCACTAGCATTTAGAGCCATCAAACACGTATCAAATGTTTCAGCGTGTGCCAGGCCTTTCCCAAAAATTATTTCACTTTAGTTCCCACATGCCCCCTTCGGGGGCGGGAGGGTGGATTCTTATCCCACTTACAGCTGAGGAAAACCAACGGGGAGGTGATGGGGTTGCTGTGGCCGCACCGTGCACCAAGCAGCCATCCTCTGTGGGCTCCCAGGCTCTGCAAAATCCCCCGATGAGTGTTTAAATTACAGATGCCTGGGCTTGACCCTGGAAATTCTGACTCAACAGGCCTGGGGTGGGGCCCAGGCATCTCTTTTTACGAAGCCCCCCCCAGGTGATTCTGATGAACAGCAGGCCTGAGAAAGAACCACTTTAGCAACTACCCAGGTGCTGCCTGGGTTGGGGGTGGAGGGCGATCGAAGGCTACAGGCTCAGGTCTCATTTGACCCAAGTATCTATCCATCTGACTCCCCCTAATGAGTGTGCCACGTACAGGCTGCGATGTCGATGTCGGCTCCCATCTTCCTGCCTGCCCCAAATTAAGGGAAAGGGCCTCAGATGGGGTCAGGATGGGGAGGGGTGCAGGAGGAAAGGGGCAGAGCTGCCGAGGCCCCTGTGGGAGCAGGACAGGCTTCTGGAGAGGGGTGTACATTTCCACCACAGGAACTCCTCAGCAATGCTTGGTGGGGAGAGGGTGGCCGCAGCCCTGGGGTGCACAGGGAATGTGTGGGCAAATGGGGGGAGTGCAGGGTGCTGTGTGCCTGGCAGGGTGCCCCGGGCACTGCTTCTCCTATGGCTTCTGTCTTGAATCTCTGAGGAAGGGCCTTTCTGTCTTGGCTGCGGGCTGTGGACAAGGGACCATCTGCCTCTTCAGTTCCCCTCTTTCCTCTCTAGGACCTGATGGATGTGTGCTGGGGCGGGGGGGGGGGGGGGAAAGGGGGGCGGGGAGAGTAGGGAACCACTGGACACAGCTGCTCTCCCTGCCTTGGACCCACTGACCCCTTTCCAGCCCCTTCTGCAGAAGCCGGGGGAGCTGCTCTCTCTCCCCACCCACCACCACCATTTGCATGCACAACGTCACTCACCTTCTCGATGACCCCAACCACCCTGCAGCCCCTCAACTGCTCCAGAGCAGAGCTCAGTGTGCGAATGGGCCGGAGCCTCAGGCTGCTGAAACCCTGCAGAGGTGGGAGACAGGTCACGCAGACTCAGGATGCAGCCCTCCTCCAGCTGCCAGGACAGCAGGGGCACAGTGGGCAGAACTGGGGTACACAGAGCTCCCTCCTGCCCCCAGGGAATAGAGAAGTTGGCCCTGACTGGCAGGGGCCCACACAGCCCTCTCCACCTCCGTGCCCCCCCCCAGCCAACCCTCCTCCAAGGCCCAGGGAGTCCTCAAGCCTCAGAAGCCCTGTCTTGAAAGCCCCACCCATGGGATGTAGGCGCTCCTGGGGCTGGGGACATAACCCAGGAACTTGTGGGTTTCAGGGAACACACCTCAAAGACCGAGGCACGTGGCCCAGGCACCTGCTTTGGGGAAAGGCAGCCTAATAAGATGCAGAAGAGAAAATACATTGACAACACTGCTGTGCGTTTATCAAAGAAAATCCGAGAAGTGGATCCACACAGTTCAAACCCGACTTCTTCACGGGTCAGCTGTGCTCACTGGGACCCATTCAAACTTCCACAGATGTGGGAAACTTTGAGTGTGTGCACATCAGGCTTGTGCATGAGCTGCGCATGGGCGTCTGGAGGTGGTGTGTGTGTGTGTGTGTGTGTGTGTGTGTGTGTGTGTGTGTGTGTGTTTACCCTGCGCGGTGGTGTGAGACAGGCCTGGAGATGATTCACTAAGTGTTTGAAGATGAAAGGACGAGGATGGTGTGGGAGACAGAGGACGCCAGCAGGGGAACGGCAGGGGGGTAGCCCTGCCCCTGGCATGCACCACGTACCAGTGCCTGCCCTGCAGCCTGGGACAGGAGGTGACAGTCCTCTGGCCCGCAGGGGGGGGCCCCACCTATCTCCCCCAGAGCCCGCAGGCCTTCAGGCAGGGCCTCCTCACCGTGCCAGGGCTGGCTCCATCGCCCAGGGTCCTCTGCAGGTGGCAAGTGAAGATCTCCTCTGCCCGCCGCAGGTACTTGGTGATTTTCAGCTTCACGGCCTCACATCGCTCCTTGTTGGGGTCAACTGTGGGGCGAGGGTGTCACCAGGACCCACCCTGGCCCCGGAGGGCTGGGGTTCTGGTTCCCTCTGCCCCGCACAGGAGAGCAGTGCCTACTTCTCAGGCTGGTCTGCAGGCGGTGCCCCCACACCCATTCCCCGGCCCTCCTCTGGGTGGGAGACTGGCAGGTGGGGGCGGAGAAAGGAGATGGAGGGAGAGGCTGGGAACCACAGTCAGCCCTCAACTTCATGGTTGGCACCCGCCACCCCACTGGCTGTCATTGCACCCTGAGAAGGAGCAGTGTAGGGATTTCCATGTCTGTTTTCAGAGAAGGAGACAGAAGCTCCCAGAGAACACTCCCCTAACCATCTCTGATACCCGGTGTGAAAAGACCAGAGTGGGGACCCAGACTGGAAGAGGAACGGATTCACCAAGTGGTCAGAAGTCCAGGTGTCAGGGGTCTCTTTGGCAGGGGGGGTGGGAAGCTTGAGGCAGGGCCCGACTCCGACCCCCAGTCTGACCACCCTCAGGGATCCTTCCCCTGGAGAGGAAATGCCTCCCTTTGCCCTGAACACGCTGCTGGCAAGCTTGCTCTCTGGAACACCACCTGGCCCTTCAGCTGGACAATACGCCTACTGTTGTTCTTCAGGGCTCAAAGTTCTAACTTCTAGAAAATACCCTATACTGGCCCAACCTGGCCTCAACTTCTCTCTTTTCTCCCCTCATTTCCTCCTCAGTGCTCTTCCCACCCAAGATGGTAATTACCCATCAGCCAACTCATCAGTCTCCCCCACTGTAAGGCAGGCCCCAAGTGGGCAGGAGCCCAGTGTCTAGGGACAGGCAAGTGTGCTGAGTTGGGGGCCAGCCTCTAGAGCCCCAACTGTTGAAACCTCAGATCTGCCCTGATAGCTATGGACCCTTAAGCAAGTGATTTAGCTGCCTGGTACCTCAGTTTTTGCATCTGGCAAATAGGAATAAAAATAGTTCCTACATGTTTCATCATCAACATATATAGTAATTCCCATTACTGTGAGGCTCCCATGAGTTAATACAGGTAAAGCCCTTAGACCAGTGTCTGGCATATAGGAAGTGCTCAATAAATGCCAGCAATTATCACCGCCCTTCACAGAGGCACTGCGGGGCCAGCCAGAGCCCTGTTCACTCAGCACAGATGGACAGAGGATGTGGTCGGGGGAGCCCCAAGTCCCCCTTCCCCACCAGCTCCCCTCTCTGCCCAGCTGGACCCTCACCGTGCACGCCTCGCAGCAGGACATCCACGCCGTTCTGGTAGTGGTTGAAGGCTGCCTCGTAGTCCTCACTGACATCACGCTCCAGGGCCAGCCGGATCTGTGTGGCTGCATCCACCAGGTAGTCACGCTTGGTCATGTCAGAGGCCCCGGGAGCCACCAGATTGCGAATCTGCTCCAGGTACACACGGGCCTGGGACCGGGCTCGGGAGCAAGGCTCAGGCTCCAGGCCAGGGCCAGGAGGGCACTCGCAGGCCACCAGGCTCATGGCTGCTGCGCTGTGGTGGGGACCTGAAACAAACAGACACCTTAGGGAGGACCCGGCTGGGAACAACACCCCGTCCACACCCTGGTTTCCTGAAAAGTGGGAGACTAACACTCTCCTCCAAGGCCTGGAGGGATCAGAGCTAATGTGGGTAACATCCCTCTACGGGGCCAGACCTTTTCTAAAGGGTGATAATAGAATAACAAGATACTTGGGGCTCTTTCATTTCAAATTCAGATCAACAGGTATTTCTTGAGCACTGGAGACAGTGGAGGATATCTGTGATCCAGAACTGCCTTCACAGCATCTCACAGACAAACTGGTATCTAGCACATGGTAAACATCTGTTGGTCACACGCCGAGGCTGTTCCTCACACTGTTCCCTCCATCCTGCCTGTGTTCCTGGTCATAATCCTCACACAGAAATCTCCTTTATCCTTCAGGGTTCAGCTCAATGGCACCTCCCTGAACAGGAGAGATTATCCCTGCTTTATCTTCTTTGGTGCGGAGGTCAACAAGTGAGGACCCCCCCCCCCCCACCGCCCCAACAGAAGTCTGGCAGAGAATTAGGCACAAGGCCAGGCCTTAAATCTGTGGGCAAATGAAACGTCCAAGTGACAGATTCTGGATGGAGGCTGAGGAAGGAGGGCAGGGCCAGGGCCCCAGGGAGGCCACATGGCCTCCAAGGACCCGACAGCAGCTCCTCCCTGAGCAGTGGGTGACACAAGTGGCCAAAAGGATAAGAAGGAAAGGGCTCTGAGAGAGGCCGGCAGAGCCGCCTCTGCTCCCCCACCCCCACCCCGCAGCCTCAGTGGCACCTGTGCTCTCAGGCCCCAGGGAGAAGGGCAGGGCCTGAACTTCCAAGACGAGGCCACCTCTGCCTCTGCGGAGAGACAGGCCGGATAGGACAGGATGGGGAGTGGGGGGGGGGGGAGGAAAACCCACATCCCCCAGCCGGCGGGGACCTCAACCCGGGCCGGGATGCCGGGTGGAGGGAAGCCGCACCCTCCCTGCTCCCCCCCCCCACCCGGGACAAGCAGCTCGGAGGCCTGTGATGGGGGCGGGGGATGCCGAGGCCCGGGGCTGGGCCGCTCGAGTCAGGGCCCCGGGCCACCCCCCGGGCTGGGTCCCGCGGGGCAGGGAAGCGGGGCGCCCAGCCCGCGAGCCCCGGCACAAGGTGCGCCACCCGCGCGGTGGGGCGGGGGGCGGGGGGGAGCGTGCTGGGGGGGAGGAGGGGACGCCCGCGCCTGCAGGACCGAGGCGCGGAGGAGGAGCCGGGCCCAGCGCGTACCTGCCCGAGCCGGGAGCCCGGTCGGCGCCGCCACACCTGCCGCAGCCCTCGGCGCCGCCCGACCCCGCGCCCCGCCGCGCGGCCGCGCCTCCAGCCAGGTGCAGGGCTCCGCCGCCGCGCCCGGCCATTGGCTGCGGATGAGCTCATCCTCTAGCGTTAGAATAAACCGCCAATCAGCTCCCGGCTGCGTTTCTGCCGGCCCTTAAAGCCCCAGCTCCCCGGGAAGGGGTGGGGGTGTCCAGCATCACCCAGGGGTGCGCGAGAGCCCGCCCCGGAAATAAGCCAGCCGCGGTCGCAGGGATGCTCAGTCCGTCGAGCTGGGACTCTTGGTTTCAGCTCAGGTCATGATCTCGGGGTCCTGAGATCGAGTTCTGGGAGGGCTCCGCGCTCAGCGAGGAGTCTCCTTGGGACTCTCTCTCTCCCCCGCCCCCCTGCCCCTCCCCCTGCTCGCCCTGGGGCTCTCTCTCCAAATAAATAAATTAATTTTTTTTTAAAAAAAAAGGAAATCTAGGCTGACTAGAAAACGTGCATGCTACCGTTGGGACTTTTCTCATTTGTTATTTCATTCATTCATTCATTCATTCATTCATTCAACTATGTAATACTTCTGTATTGAGACGGTGCTACGCAGGAGTGAGATGCTAAGGCCCAGCGCTGGAACAGTCTCTGCTCACGTCTTTCAGGGGGTTTACCGTCTAGGGAGGGCTATAGGGATTAAAGAACTAAAGAACACAGTTGATATTTCATTCCAGGTGTGGTCAGAGCTGTGTGAAAGGAGCACCACAGGGCCTATGAGACTTATAAGGAGGGGAATGACCTGGGCCGGCGGTCAGAAGGCTTTCTGGAGGAAGTGATATCTGAACTGGACATGCAGACCTCACCTGCACCCCAGTGCTGCACTCATACTGACTTTAGCGCACTTGCTCTCCCCTAGATACCTTATCACACGGTTCCCCTTTCCTGAATCCCAATGTCTCCTCCTCTGTCCTCACTCCCAGTCAGACAGGTGCTTCCTCCTTTCCTTGAAAACACTGGAGCTCTCTTCTATTTGCTATCTGCCCACCAGCCAGATCTGCACCCACATACTGCCTCCCCACCTCTTCCCACAGATGACCTGTCTGTGCCCCATTGAAGGCCAGCTTCCACTTGGGATCAGCCCCACCCATCACCTACTCCAGGACACGGCACCAGCAAGCTTCCCCTCTCTCTCCTTAATTAATCATTAAGTAGAGAGCATCATTAGTTTTTGGCTTCCACTGAATCATTCTCATCTGATACAAGCATAACACTGATTCTCCCATTTTATTTATTTTTTTTTGTTGATTCTTCCATTTTAAAAGCAAAACAAGAAAACTAAACAAAATAAAACCACTCTTGGCCTCATTCCTCACTCCTCCCTCTATCTAGGTTTGCAGCAAAGCTCCTTGAAAGAGAGGTCTATACTCACGGTTTCCAGCTTCTCTTCTCCTACTCTTTCTTGAACCTGCTGTGATGACCCTTCAACATTGCTCTGAAATTGCTCTTGGCTGGAGTGGTGGGGTGGCTCAGTTGGTTAAGTGGTCAACTCTTGATTTCGGCTCAGGCCATGATCTCAGGGTGGTGAAATGGAGTTTGGTGTGGGTCTCTGAATGTAGCTCTGCACTGGGTGTGGAGTCTGCTTAAGTCTCTCCCTCTGCCCCTCCTCTGCCAAACCCTGGCCACTTACTTGTTCTCTCTCAAAAAAGGGGGGGAGCGGTGCCTGGGTGGCTCAGTCAGTGCATCCAAGTTGGTTTCAGCTCAGGTCATGATCTCAGGGTGGTGGGATCCAGTCCCACATTTGGCTCCACTCTCAGAAGGGAGTCTGCTTGAGATTATCTCTCTCCCTCTGCCCCTCCCCACTCACATGCTGTTCATTGTCTCTCTCTCAAATAAAATCTTTTTAAAAATGAAATTGTAGGCAGCCCCAGTGGCCCAGTGGTTTAGTGCCGCCTTCAGCCCAGGGCGTGATCCTGGAGACACGGGATCAAGTCCCACATCGGGCTCCCTGCATGGAGCCTGCTTCTCCCTCTGCCTCTCTCTCTGTACCTCTCATGAATAAATAAATAAAATCTTAAAAAAATAAAAATGAAATTGCTCTTCTTAAATTGAATATAATTCACATACCATTCAAGTTTAATAGTCTAATAAAATGTCTCAAATTCAACAAATCCAGAACTGCAGTCTTAAAATACAGCCTACAGGGCAGCCCGGGTGGCTCAGCGGTTTATTGACGCCTTCAGCCCAGAGCACGATCCTGGAGACCCAGGATTGAGTCCCATGTCAGGCTCCCTGCATGGAGCCTGCTTCTCCCTCTGCCTGTGCCTCTGCCTCTCTCTCTCTCTCTATGAATAAATAAATAAAATCTTTAAGAAAAAGTAATGAAGTACTGACTTGTGGTTGAACCTTGAAAACATTATCCTAAAGAAAAGAAAGCAGAGACAAAAGACCAGATTGTATGAGTCCATTTATATAAAATTTCCAGACCAGGCAAATCCATAGGGATGGAAAATAGATTTCAGGGAGGGGGTAATGGGGAGTGGCTAAAGAATAGATTTCTTCTGGGGATCAACAAATGTTCTGGAATTAGTGTGATGGTCATACCACTTGTAAATATATTAAGAACCACCAAATTCACATTTTGAAGAGGTGAACAGTATGTGAATTACATCTCAATTTAAAAATGATCATAATGAAAAGGAAAAAAAAACTGGACCTCCTTATCCTCCCCAACCTGAGACGTCTATCTAAACTCTCTTCCAGCTCCATCCTTCCAATTGCTCAGGCCAAAATTTTTGAAGTCACCTTGGCTTCTATTTTCTCACACTCTACATCCAATCCATGAGAATATCATACTGGTTTTTCCTGCAAAATATATCCAGACTCTGAGCACTTCTCACCCCCGCCACTTCTCACCTCCACCTCCAGTGGTATGATTTTTATAGGGCCATCTTCATCTCATACTCTCATACCTGATTTACTGTTGAGGATTCCTCCTGGCTTTCTGTTTCTACCTTTGCCACCCTCCAGGCACTTCTCAACACTGTCAGTGGATCCTTTCAAAGCCCACGTCAGATCCTGTCCCTCTTCTGCTCCAAAGTCTGCAAGAGCTTCCATCCTTCTCCTGAGAAAAACTCAGTCTCTACTATGACCCCCAAGGCTCCCATGATCACCCTTCTCCATTATTTCTCCAGCTTCATCTCCTAGCCTCACTCACTCAACACCAGTCACTCTAGCTTCCTCACTGCTTCTGGAATGCACCCAGCGCTCCCATGCCAGAGCTTTTGCCTTGCAGTTACCCTCTGCCTGGAATAGTCTGCCTTTGGACATCTGCCTGGTAAACCCTAGCCTTGCTTCAACTCATTGCCCTCCTGTCACTTTCTTGAGAGACCTACTGACTACACCCTCCCAACACCCCCTCTCCCTTACCCTATTCTACTTCTTTTCCATTATTCTCAGCCCATTAGCATGCAATATCACTTACTTACTTATTTTTATATGTTTCTTTTCTTTCCTTGCCTCCAGGCAAGATCCACATGGGCAAGGGCTTTTATCTGCTTTGTTCACTGACTTATCCCAAGTGGCTACAACTGCATCTGGTACCTAGTATTGCTCAGTAAATATTTGCTGAATGAATGAATGAGCCCCAAAGGATGAGAAAGAATTAACCAGGAGAAGTGTTTGAAGAGGGCAATGGAGGAAAATTTCTGGGCAGAGAAACGGCATGCATAAATGTCTTAACAAATTCACAGAGAAAAATAACATTTGCACATCAAACAGATGGCATGGCATAAAATCATTTGAAAAAATTTAATTCTCATTCATGATAAGAACAAACTCTTTACTTAACAAACTCTAAACAAACTTATGAACCTCCTTCTTAACTTGATAAAGGCTTATCTACCAGAAACTTAGAGCAAACACCATATGTAATGGTAGGGCATTAGAAGCTTTCCCAGGGTCCAGCTGTCCTTCAGGCATATGGTAGGATCACACTTCTCTGCCCTTTTGGAAGGGGCTTGGCCATGAGACTTGCTTTGAAATGTTAATGGACAGAACAAGAGTTACTTCAGGGTGGAAGCTTCAAAAGCCAGTGTATAATTCACTCCGCCCCTTTCCTCCTACCACGGGGAACATAAAAGCGTGCTCATGGAGGCACATGGCCTCCCTCAGCCTGATTCTCTGAGAAACAACAAGGAACTCCTCCTGCCCCGTGACTTGCATTGGACAAGAGGTGTGAGAAATGAATTTGAACGAGAAACCAAATTATTGTGTAGAACCACAAGATCTGGAACTGTTTGTTATTGCAGCGTACCCTGACCCATCTGGAATGATACACCCAATGCAGTCAGAAATGAACCAATGCCTCTACTCTTAAAAAATATATTGGATGTTACAACTTATGGGCTAAGAAATAAAAAAACAAACAAGAAGTTTAAAGATTGGGAGAGAAGAGGCCAAATCTCCATTACTTTTGATAATGTGATTATCTACCTGGAAAACCTAGAGCAACAATTGATGAGTTCAGCAAAGTGGCTGGATGCCAGATCAATATTTACAAATCAAGATCTTTCCCATTTGTCAGCAATAACAATTTGAGAATATAATAATTTTTAAATCCCTTTCATCATCGTAACAAAAACTGTGAAATACTTACAAATAAACTAATTAGAAATACAAGACCTTCATGGAGAAAACAATAAAATTGTATTGAAAGACACAAAAAGACCCAAATAAAAGTGCTGTGTTTTGTAATAGGATGACTACCATTGTAAAGATGTTGATTCTCCCCCCACCATTAATTTAAAAATCCAATGCAATTCCAGTCAAAATTTCAAAAGGACTCTTCATAGAACTTGAGAGGATGCTTCTAAAATTCCTATGTCTATTCATTCACTTCACAAAAACTTACGGAGGGCCTGCTATGGGTGTGACTCTGTTCTAGGTACTGAAGATATCGTAGTGAATGAAACAAATAAAAAAACCCTTCCTGGAGCTTTCATTCTTAAGGGAGAAAACCAATAATAGGGACCCTGGGGTGGCTCAGTGGTTGAGCA